TTACAGAGGGCTCTTATCATAAAACTCTTGAAGGCAAAATTGAAATTGGGTATGGGCATAGCAGACGAGATTCACAAAGAATTTCGAAAAAACAAACATTACCTCAAAGTCAAAGTTTTTGATAAAGATGAAATTTGGTCAGCCGATTTAATCAACATGCCAGTCGAGAGAGGGTACAAGTATTGTTTGACGGTGATCGACATATACACGAGATACGCTTGGGTGTTTCCCTTGAAAAACAAATCGGGTCTGACTGTCAAACAAGCATTCGAAACCATAATGAAACAATCCGACAGACGACCCCTAAAGTTGTGGGTTGATAAAGGAAGCGAATTCTACAACAGAAATGTGAAATCTCTGGGGTTTGAAATTTACAGCACGCATAAAGAAGGTAAAGCCGTAGTGATAGAAAGATTCAACAGGACTCTTAAAAGCAAATTATTCAAGAAATTCACGGAATTGAAATCTCAAAAATGGCTTAAAATATTACCAGTTGTTGTCGACGAATACAATAACAAAATACATTCGTCTATAGGTGTGACGCCATCCCAATCCTCTAATAACCCGAATATCATAAAGTCCGTCAACACTCGAAACAACTTTGAAAACGAGATTAGCAATTTGAATATTAAACCCAAATTCAAAGTTGGAGATCGAGTTCGTATTTTTAAATATAAATCATTGTTTCAGAAAGGTTACGTCGATTATTGGACTAACGAGATATTCATCGTTGATAAAGTAAACAACACATCACCTCCCACGTATGAATTGATCGATCAAGACAAAGAACAAATCATAGGAAGGTTTTATCAAAATGAACTTCAAAAAACTGACTTTTAAAAATGAATCTCGAAAATGAAGATTTAGATGAAAGGTTAAGAAATTTAGATGTCGACAAGCATTTACGCTCTCTTAAATTAAGATTTTTTAAATTTAAATGTAAATTTATCTTCAAAATATTATTGAATGTGTTTTATCAGAATGTTATACAAGTTTTTTCAAACACAAACTACGTATATATTTCGTCAATTGGGTCTTCAGCAATACTTTCCGCCTACTTCGAAAAAACACCTAAAAAAAATCAACTTCAAAAATGAATGCATTTCTCGATAAATACGGAAAAGACACGACCACAAATTTTCAACTTGTGAAATGGGCCAAGGATTTGAACGTCTCGCCGTTTTATTATTGCATGCGAGATGAAATTGAAATACAAGAAAGGTAAATTTTACGCCATCACAAACATTCACACGTCGGATTAAAAAGGAGTTCATCACTCTGCTTTACACAAAGATTCTTCGAATAACTTTTATTTCTTTGATTCTTTCGGTCTAGAACCGACAGAAGAGATAACGAAATTGACTAGCAAACCAATCAAATGTTTTACGTTTCAAATTCAAATGCCAGGACAAAAGCTGTGTGGACAACTGTCGCTTTGGGTTTTATATCGGTTGAGTTTGGGAGAAAAGTTTGAAGAAATTATAATAAATTTAACTCAATAAAAATGGCAAACAAGTTTGGATTAGGGTCTTTACCTCTAGAATCTAAAAATCCCATGAGTTCTAAGGCGCTTATAAACAAAGCGAAACCTTTTTTTCGTGGATCAAATCGGAGACACCTTACAAGGGGATATCGATATGAATAATTTCAAAATAACTAATTTAAAGTTTCCAGGAAACGATAACGATGCCGTGAACAAGAAATATTTACTGGATCAAATAAACGCAATTCAAATAGATAAGGACCATGTTGAAAATAGAATAAATGACGTGAAAAGATACATCAGACGAAATATTAAAAATCTTGTGGACGAACCCAAACTACAACAAGAGTTAACGAGTTTGAAACGTCTTATTCAAGTGGATAAAACAAGTCAGTTGCAAAATTTAATATCTAAATTAGACGATAAGATTACGAAGGTAAAAATAGATGTCCAACTTTTAATAGATAACCCAAATGTAAACGAGGATAGATTGAAACGAAAACTAACCGCTTTGGAAAGAAAACTTGACGGATTGCTAGCAGAACTAGACAAGACCGAGGACAAAACCGAGTTACAAAATTCGATATCCAATTTGAACGAAAAGATCGCGAAGCAAAAATCAGATGTTCAAGATATAATTAACACACTTCCCATTGACAAAGATACGTTGAAACAACAATTGACTGCTTTGGATACTAAAATCACGGACGAATTAGAAAAAGAAGTGGGTGTGATTAAAAACTTTCTTCAAAATAAATTTCGAGATGATATGAAAAATTATATTAAAGAACAGGTCAATCTTTTGGTATCTAGAATTCATGACGATTTTTTGAGACAAGAGAGAAAGTTGACCAAATTAGAAGCTATTGTCATGGACAAATCGTATTATTTCAATCTTCCATTCGAAAGTAACACTGTCTTCGATAGAAAAGACCAAATTTATAAATCAAACAAATACGGATTCAAAGTAGAAATAAAAGTGGGTTCTCTCGTATACGGAGAACCTAAAAACGTATTCGATATCGGCGAAACGGAAGAGTTTTCTTTTCGAGGTAATTGTCTGATTCAAATAGAGTTTCCCATGAAGGTTAAAGTCAATAAAGTAGTCTTCAAACAAACCGGTAGGACCATCGCCCATATTTCATTATTCAATGAAGGTAATTTGGAAGAGAATATACGTTTGTTTGATAAAAGAAATCATGAAATTGAAACGAAAAATGGTAAATATGTAGACACCTTTAAATTGGAAGTAGAAAATTTTAAGGGTATCATTGGAATCAAAGATTTGGATATGATATTGGAGACGGAAAATCCACCATTAGCCAACATTGTCAAAATTCCACCATCACTTATAATACCCGCTGCATTAACAGCCGTTCAAACGACTTCTTGCGGTCTCATCACTTTAGGTTTCACGAGCAAAAAGAAAGCTCATTATAAAAAGAAAACGGATATCTTGAATATGTATCCTAATCAATTGTACATCTTTTTCGAAAGATCGAGAGAAGACAAGAACATAACAGTTGAAGAATTACAAGAATTCAATGAAATTTTGGACAAATTCCATACAGAAATATCAGCGTCAAAATAAAGAAATAATCAAAAATATATACTTAAAAAAATATGAATAAAATCGAACTTGCAGACGATGAAACATTGATAGAAAACGCCCTATTTTCCGATGTTATCAAGTCTATCTCTGATAAATTTAAAACATTCAAAGGACAAATTAAAATAGATGGAGAGATAGTCGAGGAAGGGAATCACAGACAATACATGTCACTCCTCGGTTTCAATGCCAAAACCTTTCACAATATCTTTTCAAATATTGACAAAAAATCCGATGCTTCCGATTGGTATTTTACAGGAAAAATAATTTTAATGAAAGACAATTTCCAAGAAATAAAAAGATCGAGAGTTGGTAGAGGAGGAACTGATCTACTTAAAAAGATAAATGAATACGAAGGCGAAAATTGTTACATACCTACAGATGGTCACTGTTTCATCAAATGCGTCAATCGTGTTTTGAACAAAGATTTAACGTGTAAATTTCAAGAATACATCAACGGGTTTTCAAAAGCAAATAGAAATGATAGAGTGATGACTTGTGCTAAAATGAAGGAATTCAACAAGAAATTCGACACTTCGTTTCAAATTTATAATCCCAAAAACAGACATTTTCACCCCAGAGACGTTCACGATGAATTAGATTGGGTTTTTTACTTACACAACTCGCATTTCTGTCTGATTAGAAGAAGTAAAAAAAAGTTTGGGAATTCAAGAAATAGAAGACAATTACGAACAGGTGTGGAAAACGTGTAGAGACGATAACGCAGTAACACAGGTTTCACGTCTCAAACTAAACGTGCTTTCGAGTATGAGTGATGATGCGTTATTCGCTTGGGATTGCGAAACGTATTCAGAAAAAGACACGCGAAGAGCAATTCCTTATGCCTGCACTTTAATTAATTTAGAAAAACTAAGGAAAATGTTAAACAGAATAAATAATCTCTTTTCAGATTTAAAGTCGTCAGATCCCATTCCAGAAGAATTTTACAACAAACTCATGACTAATATAGTAGAAATATTTGTAGGTACAGATTGCATCGATCAAATGTTGAAATATTTAGGTCAATATGATAGAAAGAGATTAATATTAATTTCTCATAACGGCAGTGGATTCGACAACTGGATCGTGCTTAAAAATGCAAAAAAACTAACGCATTGCCCTTTAAAAACACCCAGAGGATTTCTATCTTTTCCTTTATCTAATCCATACAGAGATGAAGATTTACAGAAAAAATGGAAAAGACAGAAAGAAATAAAGGGTAATTATTTACAACATATTAATTTCACGTGTTCCTATCAACACGAATCCTCTAGTTTGGCTGCATAGGGAAATTCTTCTAATCTTCCCGCGAATTTGAGAAAGATTGCCGACGTAGATATCGCTAAATACACACAAGACAACTGGGAGGAATTGAGACACGAATGGGAACCTTACGCCAAGAGAGACACTCTCTGTTTGGGAGCTTGTTTGATAAAATACAACCAAGTCACGAAAGAAGTTGTAAACCAGAATATGTCCAATAATCTAACGGCTCCATCTTTATCTTTAAAGGGTGGTATTATTTATATCATTACGATAAAGAAATGATGGAAGAAGAATGGTATAAAACTACTAGAATGGTTGCGAAACATACCGAAAAAGAAAAAAAAAAAAGTTTATTCGCACACTAATCCTTTTATAAGAAATTTTATCAGACGATCTATTAAAGGAGGAAGAGTTTCGGCAAATAGAAAATCATTTGAAACGAACAAAATGGATGAAATTTGTAACGTATTAAAGGAATATACAGAACTTGAAAGTAATAACATAATTGATTTATTCAAAGAATACAGCGCAAGCACAAAAGACAAAACGGAGGTTCATTCGAGACTTAAAAAAATAGAATGTACTAAACTAATGGCATTTGATGCTACCGGTTTATACACTTCCGCCATGTCGGATTTAGACAATGAATATCCGAGAGCGGAAAGTGGAAGACCGTTTCTACCAGAAGAAGAAAAAGAATTTGTAAAACTCTTCAATAAACAAAAATTCAGACCTAGAACAGCTATTTTAACAGTGTGGTTTGACTATCCCAAAAACATGTTCTTCCAACCGATACCAGCTAAAGATAAAATCACTTTCACGAATAAAGAAGGTAAAAAGGAAACGGGTAATAAAATCAGGTTCAGAAATGGTTTCTGTCACGACGTTTTAACATCGGTCGATATTCAAGAAATAGTGAAAGCCGGTGGACGAATTATTAGAATATTAGATGGTATAGTTTACGAAGAAAATTTTAAAACTCCACCCTATAGAGATTATATTTTAATTTTGAGAGATTTAAGAAATAAATATAAACGAGAAGGTAATATCGTGGGTAGTAACTGCATGAAATTATTAGGTAATTCCTTGTATGGTAAATCAATTCAGAAAGACATATTCACAACTAGACATTTATGGAATGAAGCAACTTTACAGGCCAACTTTGATTCACGCGTTAAAACCTATGAGAAAATTAATGATACTCAATATATTGTTGAAACGGAAATTGAAGAAAAAGAGACCGAAGATAGTAAATCTACACGACTAACACCTAGTCATTTGGGATCATTCGTTTTATCTCACAGTAAAAAAATAATGAACAATTTCATTCACGTCATAAATGGATTTTATAAACCCGAAATTTACTATACCGACACCGATAGTTTGTGCATTTCATCCAAAAATTGGAAAAAACTAAACAGAGCTGGTTTGGTCTCCGAAAAAGACTATTGCAAAGGTAAAAACGATTACGGTGCCGGTGGAATTATATTTGGTTTACATTTAGCACCAAAAGTCAAATACAACATCGTTTTGACTTCTGATGGTGTTTTAAAAGAAAAGAAAACGTTTAAAGGTTATTCTAATGATAAGATAAGTGTAGAAGATTACGTTCAGTTAGCAAGCGGACATGATCAGTCGAACGAATTTAATAAACCATGGGAAAAAAGTTTCACCAATGGAGTAGTTATTCCAAATGATAAACAAACTAAAGTTTTTAGAAGTTATTTGAATAATGTTAAAAGAAAACCACCAAACAGTGAAGGAATTATGTATCCTTACAACGACAAAGATGAGTATAGTTTTGACGAAAACTATGAATTTGATGATTTCGATTATCTTTCTAATCAAGAAGAGAATGAAGTTGAATGACAATTTCTTCGTTGCCAAAGTCTATGAACCTGTTTTTACCGTCTTTGATTTCCAGATTTATATCTTTGATCATGAAAGAATTGACTGGTAAATAGGTTGTTTGAAACGGTTTCTCTATAATTCTGTATCCTATCGGCACCGTAAAAGTCGGTATGCTGTATATGATTTAACGTTTGTGCTTGTTGAAAAATCCACCGTTGATCAAATTACAGTGAATGTTGATCACGTCGATATCGTTCTCGATGTTAGCCTTGTGCGGCGCCAATGTCGATTGCACGTATATTCGTTCATCGAACCCTAGTAACGCATTCAACGAATTTTCTACGTTGAAATCGACTTGACTGTTATTTCTCAAGATCAGTTTTATTTTGTTCAGATTCAGATTACCTTCGAATTCGATATTGTTTTTTGCAGTTCACGCTTCCTGCGTATTCGGATAGGTATTCGTTGATGCTACGAATTCGTAGCTCCCCGGTAGTAAGCTTATGGTTTCGAACGTAACTCCGTTATCCGTCGATATTTTTAGTTGATTGTTTTTTTCGTTGATGTTTCTATTGGAATTGTAAACGGAGAAATACTTTCATCCCAGTTCGTACTGTTTATTGCGATCGAGTTCATACTCGTAGTCTAGAGACAATTTGATGTCTGGTTTATTCGAGGTGATAACGAACAATTGTTCTTTATTGGACATTTTTAATGACGTTTATATAGTCTTTTTTAGTGATGATTTCTTTCTCCAAAAGTCGTTTTAATATGGCATTGACTTCGTTGTATTGTCTGTCCGATCGATGACCTTCTTTCATGGCCGCTAATATTATTTCTAATCTATTAAGCAATTCTTTATTGTTGTCGGATAAAAACGTTATACATGTCCAGATGCCACCATATCATCGAATTCGTCTATTTCTTGTATGATTGGTGGATACTCTTCTGTATAAACATCTACCTCCTCTTCCTCAATTGTTATATATAAATCAACTTCTTTCAATCTTCTTGTTTCGGGTCCTGACTTTCTGATCGCATGTAGAAATTTTGAGTATGCAACTAAATCCTTGTAATCGGCAATTTCAACATCTTCGCCATTCATTAAATCTATTAACCCTCTCGTTAATGTAAATATAAAGTCTTTTGTGTCGATTTTGAATTGTGGTGAATTTCCACTAAATCTTATTCTAAAACCATTAAACAACAAACCCTCATCATCAATGATTGGTGAAATGCTGTTTGGTAAATCTGGGTCAGGGTTTGAAAAAAGACGTTTTATATCAACTAATGTCCTAATTATAATACCATTATATTCAATCGGTTTGGGTTCTATATGAGGTGTGGTTTCTAAAGCTAATTTCTTTTTAATATCCTCTTGAGATTTTAATATGGGTTGAAATAGAGTCTGTAGATTTTCCGTTAATCCGAGTTGTTGTAATCTGTTATTTTCAACTCGGGTCTTTATTTTATTCTTAGCTTTGATATATTCTCTATTTCTTTTTAAAAAATTATTCCAATCCGTCATTTTTAAAAAAATAAAATTAACATATATCGATCATAACTCTTTCTCCCGCAGGTTTTCTAGTATTTACAAATACATATCCATGATCAACTGGGTTTCTCCATTGAGTTTTACAAACCTTTTTAAATGTATCTCTGTCCATTCCGTGATTTATAGACTGAATGATTTGAGATAAATCTTTATCGTTTAATTCAAATAATAAAAAACAATTTGCATTTTTTCTAATGAACATAGAATCCATCCCGTAAAAAGATTGGGATTGGTATATGCAGTGACAGTTGTGATGTCTTCCTTTGGTAAAGAATTCTTGTTGAACAGTTTGATTTCTTTGCGCTACGCAGTCTTCAAACAATATTAAGCTCTTTCGATTGCTATCAATATTAGACAAGTCTAGATCAATAACATTTTTCGTAAGAAAAACTTTTATATCCGTTGGATTGAAAGTTGGATTCTTTGATTTAATGAAGTTTTCTATGATATCTTTTATTTCCACCTCTTCTTCGTTTTCTTCGTAATATTGAAATATGTCTTGAACGTCTTTCTTTGGTAAATATTCCAAAGCTTTGAGGAATTGATAATACGATTGCTCTGGTGTTGTTGAGTAGATATACAGAGAATCGAAATCTAAAAGGTTTGGTGTTGTCAACATGTTAAAAGTGAGATGAGTTTTCCCAGAACCTGAACTACCGCATATACACATGAGCATTGGGTTATTAGGAAATATTTCTGAATGATTAAATTTTTTGCCCATTTTTATTTATTACATTTTCGTACCAAAAATCACCCCATTGCCTTTATACTTTGAAAGGAAGATTCCCTCGCCCGAACGTATGTTTTTAAAAAATATGGCGTCGCCCTTGTGTTTGACCTTCATTTCTCCGGTGTCGATTTTATCTATTAATTTGCTTAATCCCTCTTTAACGGTTTTCTTGGTTTCTTCGCCAAATCCTTGTCCGAATTCTTTAACCGTCCCTAATATATCTCCTACTCCCGAACCTCCTCGTGCTTCTCTTTCCATTGCCAAATTGTGTCTACGTGCTTCGGCGTTTGCAGCGGCTTCAGCTTTCTTATCGTTGACAGCTTTGGCTATCCCAGCAGCTCCACCAGCAGTTGCACCGGCTGCAGCTAAACCAGCAAAGATTAAAGGTAAGAAAGGTAAAAATCCACCTTTTTTAGTTAAATTCTCATCAATTCTTTCCAAGTCTATATCGTCTCTGACTTTGCAATGTTTGTATTTATCGATAATCTTTTGGGTTATATGCACTTTTTTACCGTTGTAAGTTATTAGAGTGGACGAATTCGTTTCCATAGCTTCTATTATTTTCATAACTAAAGTTTCTGGTTTCATTTTTAAAGGGTGTTTTTTTATTCAATTCTTATCATTCTTCTATCTGATATTTTAATCAAATGTTTTGCTTCTTCCAGCAATAAACAGTAGCCGGTCACATCTCCTTGTGTTTTATCGATGTGAATATTTATGTTTACCCCTGTTTTGAAAAGATCTTCTTGATGAGCTGACAGATCGAAACAAAATATTGGATGATTGAGTGAAAAATCTGTGTATTCAAACTGAGGCGTATTTCCAAACAATTCGCACATGTTTTTATAGTTTCTGTACAATTCGTTGTAATCTTTTTTGGAAGGATCAATTGTCAAAGGTTGATTGGGATAATTATCGTTGTTCAATCTGACTTGAACTTTGCGAATGATGGGATCTTGAGTATGGTTCAATGCCACTCTGAAAATGTTGTTGTTGTTTGTCTGAGAGTCTGGCAAGTTTTTGAAACCGACCATTAGATATCTCGCTGGTTTGACAGTGTTGGTGATTGGCCACGTGGTGGATTCTCCCGTTAAAGTCATGCTACCTACCGTGTTACGACGAAGAAAAGCAATTTCGATGTCTTTGGTTAAAGAGTTGAATATTCTCGTTTCCACTTCTACGGAAGGAGTGATTACCGGTATGTAAAGTTGGATATTCGTTATTTCCAATTTTGCGTCAGAGTTGTTTTCACCAAAGAATATCTTGTTGTCGTTGATTTCTCTTTGCAAATGAATTTTATACGGTAAACCTATGGAAACCTTTCTGTGTTCCAAGAGACCAAATAAAGGATACAACTTCCAATTTACGTAATTACCCCATCTGTTGTTCTCGACGACATTGTTGTATTGAAGCGCTCGTTTTTCAAATCCGTGAATTACTCCGCGAGTCACTCTTTCCAGTGTGTTTCTAGCAACTACCCTTATCCTAGGAAGGTCTGCGTCATTTGCTACAGTTCTGACCGGTTCTTTTAAAACTTCTCCGTCACCGACATCGGGAATCCATCCCGAAACTGAATCGTAGTTTTTTGGGATACAGAACCGTTTTCAACATTGTGTCAAACTCGCCGGGGTGTTTTATGGTCTCTATCGGATTTGAACCAGCTTCCAAAACCATTTCGCTGAATAAAGACGGAAAGAAGTTGTTTTCTAAAGTCGTGTTGGTTTGTGGAATTCGATTCTGAGCGGCGTCTTTGATTTTGAAATCGCATCGGAAATGGGCATCGGAAAGCAGCAACCAATTGGACAACGAATTAATTTCAAAGGTAACTCTTCCTCCGTCGTTTATTTGGGTCTTTGTCCCTACCGATGGTGAGATGATTACGTAATCCTCTTTCTTCTTGTTGAACGAATATTGAATCGGATCATACAATTGAAAGATTGGATCCAATCTGTAATTTTTGCTTGCCATTTTTATCCAATGATTTTAAACCCTTTTCCTTGTTTTTCTAGGGCTTGTCGTTCTAGTCTCTTGTTTCTTAGTTCTCTTATTAGCTGCAGTTCTTTAAGTTCGTCAGATTTTTTCACTGCATCGCTTATATTTACTCCTGCTTTTGCCACAGATCCAAGAGCTTGCGCCCCTGAGGAAATGAGGGATTTGTTGTTTGAGACAAAATTGGGGATGAGAGATGTTAGCGCAGAGAAGAAACCGTCTCCTTCGAATTTTTTTTGTTCGTCTTTTAAAATCAAAGACATTTTTAATGCGGTTATTTTTTACTGTATTATTATAGTGATTCATATCCGAAAAGACATATACTACTGACTTGACAATGTAGTTCAAATATATTTATTCAAATCTCTTTTTTTATTTCAAAAACCAGTTGGGCAAGAAATAGGAATCCCACCTTTAAAGTGCTGACTTAATTTATAATACATAGATTACGTACCTACAATTGGAGGCATAACTAAATACCCAAGTCCAGCACAGACCATCTCCACACCAAACGCTGAAGCCAGCTGATCCAAACCTACACAGTCGATGGTCACCCCAGCATTTAAAGAGTCTAAGCCAGCGATATAGAGTGATATTATCATAATTACGGTAGCTCCTATAGTCTGACTATATCCATAAAGAGGTATTAAACAAATCAACACACCACCAAACATCCGCAAACCACAATAAATAGATAAATAGTCAATATTTTTGACATTTGCAAACGCACCAACAAGTAATCGTGAGATAGTGACACCGGGTCCACTAAAAGCTAAGAAGAAGGATACTTCCTTTTCAGTGGCTCCTTGAGTTTGGCACCATAATGGATAATGAATAGCGATCGCACCATACATAGCATTCGTTAGCAATAGATTTACACATACTGCCAAGAATGGTTTATTCCAAAGGAAACTAAATTTGTTAGAACCATCAAAATATGAAGTTGCTTTTTCTTCACTTTCGTGTGTTCTTTTGTAGTCAGAGAGAAAAAGTTGACTATTAAACAAAATAGAACCATTTGAATTTTTCCATTTGGATTTTCTGGACACAAACGAGCTATTAGAATCTGTAGAACTAATGTCATTCTGTGGTTTCAATAAGGGGTTGGGTTGTTTGAAGTGTTCTGAGGTATTGACTGGAGTCAAGTCAACATTTCCCTTTACAGACGGATGTAAAACTGCCTCGTTCTCAGTGATGTAGCTATTTTTCTGACTTTCGGTTTTGCAACAAGGGAGTTTACTCGTTATACACATGTTGTTCTGAAACTCATGTAAGGGAAACATCAAGGCTCCACAAATACACAATTGAGCTGAGATGCCAGCAAATATAACCAATGTTTCTCTCCAACTATAAACGTCTAGTAAATACCTTCAAAATAAGAGATAATCCACCCATTAATCAGTGGCGGCGCCAGGAAATTGTACCAATACTTAAGTTCGTTGAAATTTCAAAAAAAAATTTTTTATGTGTTTTGCAAATTTTTTCAAGAACATGTTTTTCATTTCTTTTTCTGGTGGGAGAGCCAATTGAACAGCCCCCTCCCCCCATGCAATTACTTGCTCATATTTAGAATCTCCCATCGAACCGGTCTGACACCCTATTTGTACCTCTTGTTTCAGAAGGCTAGCGTTTCAACAGTAAGATTAAGAATGTTTACTCGGCATGGTTTTCGCCTGTGTTAACGGATATTATGCCCAAACACACAATATATATTATATATCATGTGATATAAAGCTAGTTACCTGTTCAAAAGAGGCATAATGAAGATACCAATTCCACCAGATGCCATTACTACTCCAGTCATTATATTTCGCTTCTTGTGGAAATAGTAATTCGTTATGACTATCGATGGTGTATAGGTCATGCCTAGTCCAATACCTAAAATAATAATTCGTTATAACAATACATTGTGTATAGGTCATGCGTAGTCCAATACATATAATACTAATTTGTTATAATGGCATGTATGCAAGCACAATATTTGCACAAAATTAAAAAACAATTTCGACTTCAATAGAATTTTGTTGGATCATCTTAGGATATGAGATCTTGGATGTGTTTGAAATTTTACGATTTGTCTACAGTTTTGGATTTTTCTTTTTTGACGACAGTTCATACAGAAGACTGCAATAGGTAGCCTCCGGTTTGGGTCGAATGTGTGTTTGGACAGTATTCCAAGAGAAGTCCAAAGCTAAATTACAACATACGTTACCTGCAATAACACCATAAGTTGTCATTAAAACTCCAATACTATTTGCAAAACTACTCAATACAAGGCCAAATGATAGCAGTGCAGATCCTATCATAACGGAAGATCTACATGACAAATAATTGGCTACTAAGCTAGATAAAGGACCTGAAAAAGAATCCTATAATATGTGGTATTAACATAATGTTACGTTCATTTAGATCAGTTAACCTACCGACCTATCAGTAAATCAGTAAGCCTATCGGCATATATATAGATTAGTAAGCCTACCGACGTCCATAAAAATCAGTAAACCTACCAACATCCATGTAGATCATTAAACCTACCATCATCCATGTAGGCCTGTAAACCTAAAATCATCCATGTAAATAAGAAAACCTAACGATATCCATAGATCAATTTACCTACCGACATCCATATAGATCAACAAGCCTACTGACATCCATGTAAATTGTCCCGAAAACTGTAGGTCAAAAATCTTGTTATCTCGTCGCAAGTCTTTTAAGTTGTGAAAATTAGGCATAATCAAGGTATAGTTGTCAAATCAGTAATAGTGTTCAGCTCACCATCGAAATTTGAGCATTATCCCTGTTTAAAAGTTAAAAGGACGATTCGTCTCTTCTTGTCATAATAATATAGAAAACACATATATAGAAATCGAAAGTGCAATATTTTCCAATTTTTGAGGAATTGTGCGATTTTGTACATTTCTAAAACTTCTGAATACTAATTACATTATATTCAAGACCCAAATCAACCACCGATTATGGCGAATCTGTCCCTTTAAAGTAAAATGAAATGTATGACACAATTATACTAAGAGTATATCTATTACAAAGGTGTTAAACTATTCTTAGGATTATGTCATGCATATATTATAAGGTCAAAAGGGGTTAATTGGAAAATGGGGTACTTGACACAATATCGGATGGTCTGATTAATTTTCAGTTCAGTATGACGATGGGTGTAAAAATAGCTTGCCAGGCAAGGTAATCACCAGTCACCAGTGTGAAATATTCAACCTTCAGTCATACACTTCTTTTGAACTCTTTAGGGCGATACTGTGAAAACTCTAGAAGACAAATATTCAATCTTCAGCGCGGTGCTGAATAATAAAACCAAGTTTTGTCAAAATCCGGCAAGAATAGAGTTTTTACGGGCTATAAATTGAACGAGTTTTCAAGAACAAGGACAATAACTCATACTAAATATTTTTCGATTTTTCTGATTTTCAATAGGCTGTATCCTTGAGTGATAACAAACACTCAAGCCAAGTTTTGTTAAAATCCGTCAAAAATTGTGCCTTCTACAGTGTTTACAAGCTAAATATTTAACGCGTTTTCAAGAATAAGGACAATAACTCATACTCAATATTTTTCGATTCTTATGATTTTCAACAGAGTTCATCCTTGGGTGATTGCGAATACTCACACCAGGTTTCGCCAAAATCCGTCAAGAATTGTGCCTTCTACAGTGTTTACAAGCTAAATATTTAACGCGTTTTCAAGAATAAGGACAATAACTCATACTCAATATTTTTCGATTCTTATGATTTTCAACATTCTTGGGTGATTACGAATACTCACACCAGGTTTCGCCAAAATCCGTCAAGAATTATCCCTTCTAGAGTGTGTACAAGCTAAAATTTGAACGCGTGATCAAGAACAAGGGCAATAACTCATACTAAATATTTTTCGATTTTTATACGCCCACATGAGATCTTGGTCAGGTTTAAATTTGATGATTTTTCGATGAACGGTTTTTGAGTTATTACCCTTGACTTAGGAAACATGCGTCAAAATTTGTTTGTGAATACAATAGAGACTGCAGTTTTCAACTGATTTTAATGAAATTTGGTCAGATCATTTATATTGATGAGATCTTGGACAAGTTCGAATTTGATGATTTTTTCGAATTTCGATGAAAGGCTTGACTTACAAAAAAAACGCGTCAAAATTTGTTTGTAAACACATTAGAGACACATTTCAATTGATTTTAATGAAACATGGTTTGATCATGTATATTGATGTGATAATTTGATGTATTTGGGTTATTGATATTGATTTTTAAAAATTTGGTGGAATTTCTCAGCATAAATAACTGGCAGTAAATATATATATCATTGAATTCAAACTAATAAAATTTCTTTAATATGAGAAAATTCATACTTTATAATCACTAATGACTGTTTTATCATTTCAGACAGCTGCCAGTGGTCATATGTTACCTTGCCTAGCAAGCTATCTTTCTGATTTTCAATAGGATTTATCCATGGGTGATTACAAACACTTACACCAAGTTTCGTCAAAATCCATCAAGAATTGTGCCTTCTAGAGTGTTTACAAGCTAAAATTGAACGCGTTTTCAAGAACAAGGGCTAAAACTCATACTAATTATCTTTCGATCTTTTTGATTTTAAATAGGGTTCATCCTTGGGTGATAACAAACAATAACACCAAGTTTCATCAAAATCCGTCATGAATAGCACCTTCTAGAGTGTTTACGAGCGTTTCAAGATCAAGGGCAATAACTCGTACTAAATATTTATGCAGGTATTCATATCAATTTGAAACGCAAGGAGGTGACCAAACACATTTGTACATACCTGTGAGTTGTAAGAGAGATGAGAATAAAGCAGTAACCCAAGCTGTATAAGCAACACTTTCTTTAAATTGTTCTAAAAACACAGCTTGAAACATTCCACCGATAAAAGCTAAACCTGATCCTAAGAGAATATTCATACAGGCTGCTAATAAAACAATCCAAGCCCATCCTTCGTCTCTATCATTAACATCTTCCATTCTCCTTAATAATTTATATCACCTATTCTGCCTTGTTATACGTCTGCCTGGATATAATAGACCTATAAAATACAATCTGTTCAACTACCATTTTTGCATACTCATACGTCCGCGCCCTGATAAAGATCTACTCATTAGAATGATAACAAAATGCATCTTTACTTTCACGTGATACAAATTCCGTTTCAATGGGTTACCATTCTAGTAAGGTAAATAAAATTAAAGTAACTGTCCATATTACATACAGATTAGGCAAATAATTTGAATTCACTTAGGTTTTGAAATCACACTGTACAATGAACAGGAACAATTTCTTAGACATAAAATTGGTAGATTATACTTCCATAACACAGTCTTTTATTCTTATTCATGTGATCCTGAAACATCAGTTAACAACTTGACACATGTTGGCATATCCCACGAGAAGGTTGAGCACATAAGCATCAACGACTTGAGAATGACACAAGTTTCTTCAAGATACAAGTACATGTCAAAGGTCTTGACAGTTTATCAGAAACATGTCAAATTCCTGTCGTCCTGTTGTAGCAATATTATAGTTGTTGTTTAATTGGGTCCATATTGAGTGAGAGATGACACCCTTTCGTATTTAAGAAATATTATAAGAGTCCCAGTGTTAGTTCCTTGGTTTTCATAAAATCATATGTGGTCTAATCAATTTAGTATTTACGGACGACAGAGGATGCGGTAAGACAAAGGGTAAATGTAAAGTGGTAACACATGTTACAAACCTTAACTAGCGACAGGGGCTGGTCTAATATCTTTTATACAGAAATTTGCCTTAATCGGTGGGTGGGCGCATAAATATACCCTAAGAAAAGATATTCGGTATTCATTCTTTGGCTTGAGAGGAATCAGTTAGGCTGTTAGTTAAGAAGATTTCTGGGTTAGACTCTCTTCATCTCAGTATAAGACTCAAGCCTGATTGATGAAAATAAAGTGGAATTTGTGTATATGTGAATCTGCCTCTTAAGTATTTGTGTTGGGGAAAAGAGAACAACCATCGCCTGAAGTCAGTTAGTCGTATAGGCATACTCACGTAGTCTATAATATAGTGGATACCAGTCCTGTTCGTATAAACAACCAGTCAACATCCTACCCTACAAATAAACTACACCGCAAGTCGAGGAACAACTCTATACTGTAACAACTTATGTGGTTTTGAATCAAATTGCAATTTTATGGCCCGATTTGTAACCATGGATGAAACCTTGATTCACCACTTACAACCAAAATGTAAAATATACTAGCCTGTCGCCATTTTCCTAGTGATGATGACGTTATTTGCCTGTGAATGACTTGGCTGCAAAAAATTTCTTCTTGACTGGCGTGTAAATTTGAAGGAGACCCCTGAACATATACATTGTAGAGAAATAAATGAAAATTAATAACTTGAAACGGGTCTTTCACGGTTCGGTCTAGAACTTTTCAACCAGCCTTCGTATAATTATACCCAAAAAACTCACTGATATACTAGTGTCCATTTGTTTTGTAGCGAATATCTGTTAATGTCACCTTGACCCATTGCATGTATTTTTAGATTTTAATAATAATTTCAATATCGCAAGAAACAAGTTTCTTTTGTTACTAAACCCTTTATACAACAGATAGATCCACCACACAGTACAAGATAAAAATAGAAACAAGATACTAGATATATTACATAAAATATACGCTACTGGGTAGGACTCGACACATCACAACGTACTCCAACGCGACAAATCGAAATAGAACAATTTCTATCTCCATAGCGTCAAACAAAATAATATCAATTATATAGTCCTAATTACCTTGTTATCACATGATGTAAAGATGCATAAGCAATGTTGTATTGTGTTCCGATTCACTCAATAGGGTTGAGCCGTGTGGCGCCGTGTCGTGTTGTACTGTGTTTATATGGTGTATAGAGGCTTTAAGCTATGTATGCTGCACGAATTATGAAGTATGAATTGAATTGAATTAAATTTCATGCAGCTGGTTGCCATGACAAGGAGCTGTCTCCGATATGAATATGATACACGTTTTATTATTGTACATAAATGCAAAAAACATAACAGTATATTCTACCATTGGATGTTTGACTGATAAAAATATGCCAGTCGACTATACTCATAGAATAGACTGTGATCTTTAAAATTTACATAATGGATCAGATAACGTATTTACAGGAAAAGTTCACGTTTCAAAACAATATTCGTTATACTACTAAATTTACGGTTGAAGCACGACTTCGAGCACAAACTAGACTACGCAAGTCCGGAAGCACTGGAGGTGTGCGGCTGTGGGCTGTATGAAGACACAATTTCCTGTACACATATTTTTGAAGACCTTTTCGTTTTTTCGTGTTTAAAAGGTGGCTGAAAATAAAGAGTTGCCTCCCATGAAACAACGATCTCTAAATCTACATCTACTAAAAAAGAACACAACCACCAAATAATGGTGACTTTTATCAAACCAAATCAATAAGGCAGTATCAAGTATGAATTGAATTTAACCCTTCATTGGTTGAAATTATGGTGTGTGCGACAGGTAGGTTTTTGTTTTGGTGAAAGCATTACAAGTTAAATTTTTTTCACAGATTTTAATTTTATATTCTATATCACACAAAAGCAAAATTTACGAATTCTGGGCATGTCTACACAATCACCGAGATGTCCATACTTATTGATGCGACTGATTTCACCAGCCATTCCAAATTGACGTGTATTTTCATCATATCGGACAGTAGCTTCGAACACACCAGCTCCTGGCAGTAACACAACAGACAGTTGGAATAATGATATCACACTTGTTCGTTTACCGTACACAACTGTTCTATTTATAACGTCGTTAGAACTGTGATCAAAACGTAACAATTGGTCGTTGTTTTTAACCACATGTACGGACTTAATGTGACCTAGCACTAAAGTAGCGCACCTATCTCGATATCGCGACAACTTTTTATTTATATAAGATACCAGATATTTTACACTTAATCTGGAAAATTTATCAGTTACAGGGAGTTCCATTTGGTTCATACATACACACCAGTGCGGTAAGATACCAGCATGATCACACGTCCTACTTTTTGGGATTTCTTCAAAAAGACTTATTCCCCTTTGTTTGACGTCAACAAAACCCGTAGGTCGTCCTCTAAAATACAAGATGTCTTTCAATGTCTCATAAATATCAAAAGGTGTTGTTAATCGATTCATATTTTTAACCAAATTTGAATGTATTTCGGGATATTTTTTGGAAAACCATTTTGGAAAAATGACATAAACCATCGGTAACCGTTCTTCCAGTTTTCCAATGTAGGTCTCTCGGAATGATCCAAAGCGTAGTCCATGATCACTGAATAGAAATACAACTGAAGAATTAAATATTCCTTGACGTTCAAATTCTTGCAGACGGTTATGGTAAACTTCGTCTGCCAACACAGCGTTCGATAATACGTCATGTGTAAGCCTCGTTATAAAACTAAAAGCGAAATGTGGATGTTTTGGAAAAGCGCGAGCAAGATCTCGAGTATAATCAAGAATTAGGTCGGTTTCCAGTCGATCACCAACACACTGGTGGTCATTATTCCACATAGAAAGATGTTTCTCCATTGCATTTGAAAATGCTCGGTTGTAGAAGTCGGCAGGCGGCTGATAAAAACCACGTTTCAGATAAGTGAAAATTGCCATTTTTGGAGCATCTTCCGCGTAAAGTGTCGGATATCCTGCCGCAGAGAAGTTCTTCCAGATAAAATTATATTTATCAAATGGTTCCATTCTTTTATTTTCGTCCCAAGGCAATTCCTCCACAAACTTTCCCGTTGTCATAGGAACTACATTAACAAACGTGTTATCTGCCACCTTGGTATAGCCTTGGAGTTCCACCGCAGAAAGATTTTTCAATAAAAAGGTCCTTGTCAATGGCATTGAGCGGATATGATTAAGTCTGGAAACTGAGTCCAGCCCTATCATGATGACATTAAGCAGTTCTTTGGGTTGATGGTCAAACAGGTGTTTCTGAAGCCTGCGCCTGAGCCCCTCAACTCTGTCTGGTTTTGGTATTATAAAGGAATGAAAATTGGTATATATTTTACCAGCCGAACGACTGAAGCAATAAACTCGTATGAATTCTTCAGTCATGTTAATGTCTGCATGGAACGGCGGACTTAGTTCGGTGTATATAAAATGTTTATCTGACATCTGTGAGCCTCGTCGTATTCCTTGATAATTACACTCAGAGAAGTCTCCCTTATAGTATCCATTTATCACAGTCCAATTAAGTCTTAACATCGTCTGTTCTTGATATGTTATGGAGGGTTTCCCGGTACATCGGATTCTTTTGGTCATGCGTATGTGTTCTTCAACGGATGTATCAAACGGGTCGATATCCGGTATACGACAAGCGGGTGCATTTACAAGAAAGTTACGTGTGCGAAATTTTTTAGTCTTGTAATATCTGGGTACGACTAATCTTCTACCAAACCAATGAGCTATTAGTGATGACGTCATTATGATGATCAGAAATACAGCAATGACTTTTTTTATCTTCACATCTCTTCGTCTGAAAATATCAAGATAACAAAATGAATTCCTTGTGCAGATTATTAGAACCTTACTGTTAGAAGTTGTAGGAACAGTACAATTTGGAAAAGCGCAGCGTACACCAACGGGTATCTGACAAAAACCATGACATGCACAGTTTAACCTCCATGCCGTCTTGTTTCTGTCAAATGGGAGTTCATTTAGATCAATGGTCGTATGAGGTCACGGATACCATAAAAATACACTCTGGGTTGAGCAAGTTTAAAACTTCGATCTTCAGATGCCGTTATATAAGGGAAACCAATATATAAAAAGTCCAAGTGTCCCACCGACATACACAGGGGAGCCCACAAGATACATATTAAAGACCTCCTCTTTTGATTCTCCGTAAAATGCTTTTATTCATAATCTACTTTATGGAATACGAATAGTGAAGATTTACACTATCTTATCTCAGCAGAAATTTAATTTACACTGGTATATATAGAGTAATCTTTCATTAAATATACATGGGGATATCTTCGATGCCAAAGGGCGAAGAGGAAATAACCATAAATATCAGATAAAATCACATTATGTTATTCCTGTCAAATAAACACAACTAAACAACACCAAAAGAGAATGACTAATACCTCTTGGGAAAATGGTGGATAAAATATTGACACTACTTTAAAGGGACGAGGATTTTGCACAAAGTAAATATTGCATTCACTTTAAAGGAATATTACCTCTTAGAATGAATACTGTAAAAAGTCTGCAGTAAAGTACATTTATTAGGTTATTTTATGTATTCTCTTTACTTTATTATATTCAATGTATGTAATTATTTTATGTACCTTATCGAGGCCTTGGCTTTAACCTACAAAATTTTCATCCTGACATCAGTTTCGGGGTTATCAAGCTATTATATTTATCACATGTATACCTGACTCATAGATAGTCAACTTTTCGGCCAATGGACATTATCAATTTCGATAACTTATTTGTTTCGGAATCTTAAGGGATTAATCCTTGATCAAATTACTGATTACTAAATTATATAAATACAAGAAACGACACTTTTAGAGTATCTTGGATTTTGGCTTGGTAACAGAATTACACTTCAAGAACGTTTGAAGGGAGCAATAAGTTCTGTAGGAATGGGGATAGAAATAGCATTTAGTTCCTAGTTTTGTTTTGCTACAATATAAAGTACAGATTTCCAAGTTCGAACAATAAGAATATATATTCATCTTAGGACCAGTGCTATGACTTTACAACTCTTTATTCCGATAAATCCATAAACTAATAAATTGTTATAGGTGCTATAGAAGCACTGGCCTAGGTCACAAGTAGAGACTATGGATTTCAACATGAAAACTATTTCAATTCAAACCGAATATGTTGTACTGAAGATTATTCATAGATTATTACTTCTGGAGAGATTACAAGAAAAAATATATTCAACTCAAATTCCAATGCAATTGTTTCAGGGAGTTGATGAAAGGGGTTCTAATCTACCATGAACCAATACATTACTAGTTTTTATTTCTTTTATATACAGTGAGCAGTGGTTTTTGGTTTGATCAGGTACTTTTTCTATAGGCATAACAAGAAGATCTTCAATGTTTAAAGTTTCAAAAATTACGTTGTTTTATGGATTTGTCGGATTATGCAGAGGTTCTGGTGTATTTATGACACCAAGTCTACTGATAAATATAATATACTCTTTTAAATTTTAGTTTAATTTAAATTGCATGTGCATTCTAAGGAGTAGTATCTCTTTAAGAATGTTGCATGATGCATGTTCATTTTCTCCTAAGCACGGAGGGGCATATCTTAAAACAATTCTCATACATATCCATACGGATACGGGATTTGTGACGTCAGCAAAGCCGGTATAAAATTATATCTTAATAAATTTATGAATTATAACCACTCATAGAGCAAATTACTTTTTGGGCAATGCTTTTAAAGTAGCTTGAGGTGGGAAGGGATGGGGGGGGGGGATTTCTTTATATTGGGTCAAATGCTATACCCTTTAGGTTTTGACTCTGTTTTGAATTGTTTTAGGCGGATATAAGAGTGAATCCGGACTATACGAAACTTGACATTTACAGTACATGTATATTATATCTGGGTGGGGTTAGATTAAACTTCACCTTCTCATGTTATTCTAACAAGTCAAGGTAATATTACACCTCAGGGCCATATATTGAGTACTTCATGCTTACACGTATTATTATTCTAAGTTGGTAGAAAAGACAAGCATGAGATAGATCATTGACCGACATACATAACAAAGATCAAGAACATCATCTTTGTGGGTCTAAACTACTGCTGCCTGGTCAAAATGTCCCTAAATGCACACTGCATGGCATTGACCGTCCTCATTAACCTAAGTTGCGTAAAGGTAGGACGTAAAACTCTAGGTTGAGTGTATTACTTACATCAATATCCATGATTTGATACCAGCGTAGATCAATACTTTGGTCATGACTTTACTGTAGAACGCTGACCCATGGACAGCACTTTAAATAACTAATTTTAAGAGTAAAAGGTAAATTGTTAATTTCCAATTGAAGGTATTTTATATTGAGTTTGATAAGAGGGGTCATTAAGTTCTAAACATCATCATGTTTATCCTGGTTATCATGTTTACCTCTAATTAACGTCATTATAATATTTAACTTGGCATCACAGATAGGAAGATTAAAATATTAATGAGAATACCGTATCTTGCTACAATCTGGTTAGTACAAGCGACATTCTCGTTACCAATAAATACCCCCACCCCACCCATCCTTTCATTAAATTTAATGCTCAGTTTAATTAATAAGCAATCAGGTTTGGTGGTCTCAAATTTGCTCAACATGAAAACAAGAGCATGGTTTGTCATTTTCTGGAGTTGATTTGGGTCGCGAATATATGTTAATAGTCTTCAAAAAAGCCCTAAATTATAGGCCTAACTGGCAATTTCACTTTCTATTTCTATAATATGTCTTTTCTATATATGGCGTAATCTTAAGAAAAGACGAGTCGTTATTTAAACTTTCAAACGCGGAAATTCTAGAAATAGGCTAAGCCTACATAGATTTTGATTTATACACTATTACTGGTGAGGTTATCTACAAAAAATTCTCATTTCTGTGACTAAGGTAGGATTGGTTAAACGGATGATGAACCTGTTTAACTATAAGATGAATCCAGTAAATCTCTAAATATGTCAATAATTAAGCTCTACATAATCAGGGTCTTCTGACGACAGTGATCTATGGTTCTTGAACACACTAATTTTGTATGCACCTTTAAAAAGACTGCTTAGTTTGTCGATGTTTTGAGTTGGTCAGTGGCATGGACTATACAACTGTAACTATTTTAATATCGAGTAAAGTATTATATAAGAGTCTGGTCTCAGTTTGAAAACAACGGGGTACAGAGAACAAGGGCTATCTTATCTTTACTGTAGATATACCAGTATCAAATTACCATTCATATACCTTCCTATTAAACTTCTACACATTAGAAAATGCATTTAGCCTTATATTTTAATCAGTGTAATTTTCAAAACTATTTTGAAGTAACTAACCCTGAAAAAATGTTATTGACACGTTAGAACAAAATTATTAGTGTCGATAATGGATTATGGAAGGAAACAACAGGAAACATGTCAGAGTTTTCATACCCACTAAAAATTTCACCATGTTTGAACCTATTCTATGGCATCCACATTCTAGATAAATATTATTTTTATCTGAATATAATCATGCTTTCTACTTTGCGGACCACACAGAGTTTAAGATGAATAGCAGCATGTCTGGCACCAGAATTCTTCAACCTGATGCGAGTATCTTTTAAGAAACATAGTGAAATGGAATGTGGCTCAATATTAAATAACACTCAAGAGGTGTTAATTGCTCCACATGTACAGAACACATTCTCGTGAACAATGGCGCCAAAATAATGATTGAACATACTTCCTTAGCAACATAATTAATAAATTCAAAACATACCTCATTTTTAACAGTAACCATAACACTCAACGTACACCCCACTTGACGCTGTAGTCTAATAACCGAATTAAAAGTTTTCAAGTTTCCTTCAAACTTTCACGACCCACAATCAACTCGTGGTACCAGCACGCACTGCGGAAATAGACGTTACCATGGATACTAACATATGGCGATTTATAGCATCACTCTGGTCGATGCCAAATCTGATAGACGGAAAAAATAGATCTTAGGTAAAATTTTGAATGACATGTATAACAAACAAAAGCTGGTGTTTACTGACAGAAGATAGTGTGAACAGATGAAAATGATTGGAATATAATAAAATTATGTAAACGCAGATGCTGGCATTTTGAGGAATTACAAACAAAGATATAGACTAATTATAAATTAATTATCATTGGGTATGGATATAAAAGAGACAGATTCGCCAATTTCGGGCGATGCAATATCAGCATCCGCTGCAAGCGAACGTTAACTTGTCATCTACCAACCAACCATTTTCGGAGGATGATTTTGGATCTTGAATTATGTAAATAGTCCACAGAAGTACTAGAAATGTACGCAAATCGCATAATTCCTTAAAAAATCTCAAAAAGGAAATTTCACTTTCTATTTCTTTACACGTACATGTCTTTCCTATGGTAGAGTCTCAAACTTTTAAACGCAGATAATTCTGGACATAAATGGATTTGGGACTCAAATTTCGCATAAAGGCTGTGATCACTTATTATTGATTAGCTCCTGAAACCATCATTGGACTCCTTATAGAAAATGGTTTGCACCCCCAATTGTACCCTCACTTTATTTTTAGCACATTTAAGAAATAATTTTCATGCGATTTTGCACAAAAATATTTGTCAGAATGCACCAAATAACTTCAATTTTCGAAAATTGCTTGGGAGAACCCTCTAAGACACTTTAATGTCATTTTCAAACATGAAAATATGAATCAAATTCTAACTTCGGCTTGTTTTATAAATCATAGTTCGTATTTATTGTAAATCATAATGAATAAAAAATGTTTATATAACCAAACTTCCAACTTCAACACTATCTGATAAAATACAAATCTTGATGTTGGTTTCGTGTTTATTTTTGCAGGTTTATACACTCGGTGAACAAGAAGATATTTTTGGCCAAATTTATGCTAAAGAATCGAAACACTGTTAAAAAGGCTGTTTTGGTGTGCATGTTTATGGTGGAAAATCTTTTATTGAACAGGGTTTATTTCAGTTTAAGCAGTCATAAATTGATAAATTGGGTAAACATTCTTCTTAAGGATTTTTTTTTTTAGTTCAAAGACCAGTAAGTCATTGATATATTACTGCAATTCAACACAATAATAGTTCACTGCTTTCTAGAACGAAACGTCTAGCCAAAAGTGAAAAGTTACACAATAGCAGTTAGTCCGAAACATCTGCCTCTATTCCAGCCTCAAATAGCTATCTTGACAATTGCCGTCTGAAATAGATGCAGATATTTCGGAGGTTACTGCTATCGTATCACTTTTCCCTTTTGCCCAGTTGGACGTGGTATTTATGAGTTCGTAGATCGTAGAAAGTGAAGCAAACTAAATCTTTTATAATTAGTATAACTATAGGGTAATTGTCGTATACATGAGAAACTAATTGACATTAATTAGATGACTAAGAATAATATTTTGATATTCGTACTGACCATAGAATATTTATACATGTATATGGACGGGGGAGGGGGGGGGGGGGGCTTGTTATGTTGTAGTCTTACCAAGCAGTGAAAAGGGATATAGCAGAATATTTGAATAATTTGGTATAAGCCCAAAGCCTGAAATTATACCATCTGATTGAATTCACAAAATTAAGACCTAAATCTATACTTAAGAAATATCAATATTAGCATACTTGGCGAGCAGTCACGGACGATTGCCGATCACTCTGGAATACTTGCGTAACATTATGATAGAGAGAAATTATGTTACTTATATATATGATTAAATAAATTAAATACCATGGTGCAACCAAAAGGTTTAAGTTCTATTTGATCATCATTTGCCTCTGTAACTTATTACCACTATTCTCTATTCAATACCACACGCATCTATGATGTGAAGTTCCTTTAGAATTTCCTATTGTTATACCAAGGATAACGTTATATAGTTCTGTGTGTCAATGAAGTTTCTTAAAGAATCCCCACGTATTGCAACGTAACATCATAATTCTTTCTGAATACTTTCCAACAGGCCTGCAATGTTTCGCGTTAGCATTAGAGTTTCTCCAGAACTCCTTATCAAATACAGAGTCTATGTCACTGGTCCTCTTTCACGTTCAGGTTGATTAACAAAGCTAATCGCTTAGACAACATTATGTCAACATTATGACCCTTTTCAAATTGACTAAACTCAGACCACAATATTTGATCATCATTACTGAACAAGGTGCTAACGAGAAAGTTTGTATAGCGCTCTGTATAATTGTCTTAATACATTTTTACTTTTAATTTTAAAAGTTCAAGGGAAATAACTCATGTAATATTTGTGACTAAATTCAAGGAAGGGAACTGATCAAATACTGTAAAATAATATATTATGATCAAAAATATATATAAACACAAGGCTATCAATCATGTGCTAGAATTTAAGTCAAAGTCTATAGTATGTTTAGCTCGCTGCTTGATGAACTGGCCGAGTCTTGAAAACATGAGTTGCGCACATCATTATTATCTATCAAACAAAATACCAAGCAAATGAGACCTTTTCAGTTTTTAATTCAGATAAAACACTTTCCCACTGAATGATGATGTTTGAAACCCTTCACTCGGAAACGCCCGATGGATGTGGTTCTTAAAAATTCTCTGAAATCCTCTGCTGTGTTGTATCCTTTACTTACAACTGCAGTCTGGAGGAGGTCGCCAGCTCAGCTGAGTTTGAAGATATGAGTTGCGCACCTTTGCTAGAAACGTATCTTACACGTATGTATTTAGATTGTTTTGAACTTGTTACGAATAAGAGAGCACGTATAGGTTAACGTTCGCATCGGACAGATGCTGATATCGATGACTAGGTTATTGTTGGTAGTCGTAGTAGCTTGGATTCGCTTCGACAATTGGGACTGTAGACCGAGAAGTCCGCCTATCGGGGCCAGCCCGGTATTCATATAAACAGGTTTTCATGGGCTTGTCCGTGTTCCTGGGTCACAGCGCATGATAAACGGATGGAGTATCGGCACTATAAGACCAGACTTAACATGTCCGGAGTTGCTACATTCAACTTTAAAACCGCTTTTTATCCTCACCATATTAAAAGTCAAATTGGTATCCGTTCAAAGCTGGACTATTTACACAATACCATCGAAGGGAAGACCAGCTATCTACTGTTAACTGACCCGTTACATATAGCCTAACCAGGCCCAAGTCAAGCTCACTGGTCGACGTCGCAGCTTTAACTTTCCGAGTACTGATTCACGAGTTGATCCCCTTATTTCATCATTATTTATTATATTCAAAACAAAACAATAGCCAAAGTGAGTCCTTGCTGGTTTATAAGTCAGATTAAACACTTGCCCCCGGGATTGTAGTATTTAAAACTCTTTATTTTGACAACACTTCAAGTTTGAGGCCGCCTTGATCCCACCAATGATGTAGAAATTTAGTAAATTGATTATAGAAATTTCTTAAATTATGGAAAAAATTTATTTATTACTCAGGTAGTCAGTAATGCTTGTTTTATTTGAGAAAAAAAAATAGCACCATCTTTCATAGACTAATCTTGTGATTTTGTTCATACACATGTTTCTCTCAAGATTTTGTAACAAGAAAGTAATTTTCTTAAAGCTTATTATCATCACAATAATTAAAGGGGTTGTAAAGAGGTTTTCTAAAAAGAATTCTGAGTAGCCTATCGGGGGACATTGAAAGCCTCAAATTGCACCATTCCAATTTTAATTCCATATGTTGTTCCTGCAATTCCACTCAAACCATACAGGTAGACACAAACTAAGTGTTTGATGACGTTACTAATCGCGAAGGGCCTATTTTGCGACTATGGACCATTTTATACTATTTTTATACAATGGCATCGAGACAGGGCCAAGTATGAGAGTGTCTTTGAATATTATATTTTGTTAAGAATTTGGGATTGTATGGACAATGAGTACCGTAATTAAGCTATTTAATAAGGTCTAAAGTAGTCCAAAATATTTTATGTTTTTAATTTCATTATCCGCTCAAAGAGATTAGTTAAAATTATAATAAACAAATCAGATAGTGAGATAATCCGCTTTGTTCCGTTTTTAATCCCATCACAGTTTTAAAGTCATAGACGAAACAGAAGGAACTTTTATGGTGGCTTATTACAAAATCCTATTTAAAAATTTAATTCCAAAATTACGGGGCTTTCATAGTTATAGCTGTCTCAATTAATAGGATAGAGACAAGCTACCATTCTTTCAACATCATAGGCTTACTTCATACCAAAGGCTAAGGCGTCGTCTTTTTGACCTTCGTATTTTGTAGGTATACATTGGATTTTTACAAAGTTTACTTTATAGATCTATGGCTTAGATAACCCTAGAATTTTTATCTTGTTCCAAGCTAGAAATTTCATTTTAGACTTAAACTCAAATTCTTGTAGATGATGTGACCAAATTTTACGAGTTTCCATTTACATTGACGTGAAGGAAAGACTTCGCGAAAGTGTGAAGCATAAACCGGAAGGGCCATTGAAATCTCGATCGACGACGGAAACAGCCGAGTAGTCACGATTGTCAGATCCTCGGAAGAACAAAGATGGCGACCGTATAAGAAAATTTTCAGCGGTTGAAGAGAAAAGAAAATGAATATTTTTGAAGGTAATATCAATTTACATATTCAAAATATGGATAGTGTTGTAGAATATACAAGAGCAATCATTTAAGCGGAATCTGGGTCGCGTGGATGTTTTGTGATCGTGAATATGGGCTAATAAACATCCCAATTTTGTCCACAATCAGCCCGGTCGATGAAAATTATTGTAATGAAAATAGTTTGGAGTTTGGTTAAACTAAATGTGAAACAAAATAAGTTTTTACCAGGAAATTACCAGAGTTTGAACATTTGAGTCTGACCTTATTATTATCTTGTGAACAAGCCGTACAAATATGAAATATCCCAACCTTATTATTATCTGTAAACAAGCCTTGCATAATTTGTGTTACCAATTTGGTTAATCTTTTATGGTTTTGACTATAAAGATTTGTAACTGGTTTGGTTTGTTCCCGTTCTGACTGGATACCAACACTACAGAGAAGTAGCATCAATTATTTGCAGCCTAACCTGAATGTTTTTGTAGTCACGGATTGCAATGCCATGGCGCGTTTTTATATGTAATCCTTATTTTGTAGTTTTCCTAATTATATTTTTAGGTTTGGAGAATGAAGATTGATATAAACTTGGCCACTGTTAATAAACTTCAAACATTAAATGGAATTGGTTTAAGAAAAGCTAAAACTATTGTAGAATACAGACAGGTAACATATAAATCACACAATTTCACTGTTGTACAAAGAAATTGATCATTATATTATGAATGATAACTTAACATATGGATTTATGTCATAAGATTGGGTTTAGCCTGGTAGGTGATCAATACCTTCAAATGCTACATTTGAAACCTTCTCATGAATAAATCACAAGGATCAAATTATGTTGATTTTAGAGGTAGTTGATACCTTCAGGTATCAATAATAGGCATTTAAGTATGATCATATTTTCAATTTTATAGAAAATTGGTGGATTTGAAACTGTTGATTCTTTATCTGAAGTTCCTGGTATTGGACCAAATATTGTTGACCAAAACAGACAAATTCTTACATGTAAGAAACTCAGATCTCAAGCACCCAGGTAGGTTGCATGTTATTATTTCTGTTTCAAAAACTCAAGATGCATCAAAATCTCACAACATTGTTGAGAATGTGTTCATACGTTCATAATGATCAAACACTCTTTTCAGTTGTGACCATTTTTGATGATTTTGTAGTAATTGACTTACATTAAGTGGTCACTTTTAAGAGTGTATTTGATAGATTCCTGTTGTCAAGTCAAAAGTTTGGTTTTACGTTTTGGAAGAAAGATATGGTCAGAATGCAATTGAGTGAAGTTACCTGCGGTAGATTAACCAGAGGATGATTAGTAGAGCTGTATATTCATAAGATCTTCATTTTCTTAAAGTTAACACTTATATTTGGTCATTTCAGGAGCAGATTAACTAAAAGCACCTCCAGTCATGTGACCAAAAGTAAAAGTAAGAAGAGTGATAGAAAGACAGTCTCATGTAGTAATATTGATGTAGCTAGACCAACAGATGTTGGTAGTTCTACATCCAAAACTTCAACATGTAAAAAGACAACAACAGAATCTCAGAAGCGAAGAAAAAGCCTTGATACATTTTCATCGTGTCGTGTCACGCGGTCACGAGCTAACAGTACCTTACGAGATGGGTTGAAGACACCAATCTCTGGGCCAATAAAGCCCTCGACTTCAACTTTGAATGGAGCTTCTAATAAAGTCATCAAGGATGATAGTTTTTCATCATCACAAGCCAAGGCTGCATTAAACCAAGATGACTGTCCACAACACCAATTTAATTTACCTCCAGTTAAAGCAGATACTAAGTTTTCCAATGACTGTAGACATGAGATACGCAACATTACTTCAGACACAACCTACCATCCTCACAGTCCAGAAGGTTTGGAGGATGGAGAAATGGATGTTGGTGATGATAATGAGTCCTCTGTTGATGATCTATCTTGTGGGGAAGTCAGTGATTCAGATAAAGATGATGAAGAAGGTTGTGGTCCATGCTGCTGTAAACATCATACCAAATCATCTCCTATACACTCCCCTCTACATAGATCACATTGTGTAAGTTTCTTATTTTAACTATATTGACCTGGGATGTTAACATCCTAATTGATTTAAGTTATGGAATCTAGAAGGTTTATTGTTGTCTGATATATATAATTATTTCAGCTTTAGGTTTTATTTTCAGAAAGAAAATTGAATGCGTGGTTTGTCCACAAATGCAAATTTAAAGACAGCTAATATTTGGATGGTCATTACCCATTTATACAGTATAAAGCTTATATTTATATTTCGTGTAATGATGATTTTTTTTTTCAGATTAAAAGGAAATCTTCTATAAAGGATGATTATTATAATGGTAAAAGAATGTGTCGACATCCTTGTCATAGGTAAGCTAAGGAATTAAATTTTAGTTTATATTGCAGATACTTTTAAACTTTAAATAATGTTACTTGCTTTTCATTATGACTTTTGGAAAATTCTATAGAGTGGTTTGATTTCACATATGTTCTTTCAAGACAGCTCTATGGCTTCTGTGTTTGAGGAATGTCTAGTTGTTGATATTTTACAGTACTTTGTGTTATTATTATAGTTGTCTAAGTTGTGGTCATCGTCAAGTTAGTGCCTTCCCTGTATGGTTATCTAGACAACGTATACCATCCAAAGATAACCCTCCTGCTGGCTTACATCAGTGGCTTGATACTTTCAAGGTTAGTTCTTCTTTATATGTTATCGCACAGACTTTTATATCATAGGATAATTACTGATTTCTTGGTATTGATGGATGGATCAGACTTTGTAAATTCTATTTTAATCATTGTCTTAAAATAGAGCTGTACAGACCATTTCACCTTATTGTGCACTTCAAGCAGACGGCAATACTGAGCTTGCTGTAAGAAACTTAATTATATTCAATTGATATTCATCTGGAATTGAATTATTCATTATGTAGAACTGGAGTAATGCAGAGCGTCTCATGGCATTAGATCAGATGATAAATGAATGTGAACCAACACAAGTTCGACATATGATGCAGGCTATTGAACCTCAATTCCAACGAGACTTCATTTCATTACTTCCAAAGGAGGTTTGTATGGGCTGATTTTTTCTCTGTCTAAAGCTCTTGATTTCCAGTCTTAAAGATTTATAGTACCATGGCAGGAGCTCAAGTCAGATCTTTCTCACCCTTCGGAAACATTTTATGCTGTTTTGAAGAATTATAATGGATAGTTGTTATATTTTGACTTATTATAAAATGGCATGTTACGTTAAAATTTTTTTTTTTTAATTTTTACACAAAATTTTGTGTATATTTGTATTGGGCTCTTATGCTTTGTACCTTTCTTTTTTCAGCTTGCCTTACATGTATTATCATTCCTAGATCCTAAAGATCTTTTACAAGCAGCTCAAACTTGTCGTTATTGGCATATATTAACAGAGGATAATTTATTGTGGAGAGAAAAATGTCGGGAGGAATCCATAGATAAACTAACATCCTCCAAACGTAAAAGTGGCAGTCTGTGTAGTCAATGGAAGAAATTATATTTACGTCAGTATCAAATAGAGCAAAATTGGAGATCCGGTGCTAATAAACCAAATAAGGTACTGTTCTTTCAGTTCATCCTAAAGTGCAGTCATATAGTTGATCAAAACAAGTCATATCTATTAAATCTTCCAATTCATATTGTTCACTGAAGGATGCCAATCAGCAGTGAACAAGCAATGCTCTCAAACTGCAGAATCAATCTGACAACAGAAAATTGGTCCAAGCTCAGTTTTCTGAAAAACTATTCACGAGATTTAAGTGAATGTGACCTACAGTTCAAAATCCATGACCTTTACTAAGGTACAGATCAGAGATGACTCCTACAATCTGCTTGTTATTTGGACATTATATTTCGTATGGCCATCTAATGAATATAAAAATATGGTACTTTAGAAATGAAAAATCCACAAGATCACCAGATGCCAATATTTTTATAGCTTTTTCATAAACTGATGTTATTTGCAGGTATTAAAGGGTCATGATGACCATGTGATAACTTGTCTAGAATTTTGTAATAATAAAATAGTTAGTGGTTCAGATGATAATACTCTTAAAGTTTGGTCAGTCCTTACTAGTAAGGTAAGAATATAGATATTACCTTCAACTGCATTTGGATAGACATAGAATAATATGATATAAGATAGGAAAAGCACATAAACAACCAAATAGGATGGAGGTATAAGGTTAACATAGTATAAACTGATTAATATTTACAACTTAAGCATAGTGCCTTATGTACTACAGGCTGCGTACATTAAAGTTCTTTTGGAATGTAATTCCACAGTTAAGAAAAATTTATCTTATTTCCACACAAAGATATTGTCAGTTACAGTTGGGAATACCTGGCAAGCTATATGCAGTGTATGAAATTGAAATTTACACCAATATTGCAATATATTGATGGTAAATATCTAAATAAAACCATGTAGTAAGGTCTCTTCTAGCTTAGACTTTGACCATCAAAAAGTTTGTTATAAACGAGAGTAATGTCCCTTGGTAAATAATTGACTATAAACACAATGTTATCATAGTTTGTCTGTTCTATTTACAGTGCCTTCGTACTCTGGTAGGTCATACAGGTGGTGTATGGTCATCACAGATGGTTGGTAATACTATTATTAGTGGTTCAACTGATAGGACATTACGTGTATGGAATGCTGATACAGGACATTGTCAACATGTATTATATGGTCATTCTTCTACTGTTAGATGTCTTAGTTTACATGGTAATAAGTAAGTAGCAGATTTTATAAGAAGATATCTTCTTAGATGAAGGGTGTTTTGTGTCTACAACATGGATTGGTAAATTACAGAAAATGTATAATAGCTGAGATAGCTAGGCAATAGAGGTTAATTTCAGCTATCAATATCACTTTTGATCAGTTTGTAAATCAAATAGTGCAGAGGTCCATATTTGATATTATCAATCCATGAAAGATGATAATAAACCTTTTCATTACCTGTATCGACATCAAATAATAAGATTAGAATTCCCATTTAACATAAAAGTGTTAACTTACACTTAAAAATATTCCTCAAACTGTCAAATAGATGCCAAAGTCTTCATAATTATACTGTTTTATGTTTCAGAGTTGTAAGTGGCTCTAGAGATGCCACATTAAGAATGTGGGATATAGAGACGGGAGAATGTTTATATGTATTACTAGGTCACGTGGCAGCTGTACGATGTGTACAATATGATGGTAGACGTGTTGTCAGTGGAGCGTATGATTATGTGGTACGTGTTTGGGATCCAGAGACTGAGTCGTGTATACATACATTACAAGGTCATACTAATAGAGTTTACTCGTTACAGGTAAGTTATACAATAGTTATATAGGAATGTTATCGTCTAAATAGTTACTATACAAACTGTTTGAGCTCAATTTCAGATTCTTGGAATGTTTTTTAATATAATTCAAATTCCGAAGTGAGGCTCTCCTACAATTTGATCAAAAGATTTTGGACTTTTGTCACAATATTTTCTTCAATCTTACTTACAATTTTTACGTAGTATTAGTTAAAAATTTGATAAGAATGTAGATTCAGATGTGTGTTGATATAATCTTATAGAAATACCAAAAACAAAACATCTAGACCTGTATTTCAACCTGTTTGTAAACCTATCATTTATAAAGTGTTCATTTACTGTTACTTCAGAGGTGTTTTTCCAGTGATGTAACTTGAAACAATACATCTAGACCTGTTTTTAAACCTCTTATTTACAATGATGTTAATTCTCTGTTACAGTTTGATGGTGTACATATAGTAAGTGGATCATTAGATACATCAATAAGAGTTTGGGATGTAGAGTCTGGTCATTGTTTACATACATTGATAGGTCATCAGTCATTGACTAGTGGTCTAGAGTTAAAAGATAATATATTAGTATCAGGTAATGCTGACTCTACTGTAAAAGTCTGGGATATTACTAGTGGTCAATGTCTACAAACACTTCAAGGTTAGTACTTCCGATTCTTACTGAATAAGCTCTGGAATGTGTAAAAAATTTTATGTCGAAAGTATAAAGTTTGACTTTGTCATCTTTCAGTAATGGCTTAGATTGTGTTTTTAGATTGAATTTTTTTCATTATATAACAACAATTTACTTTGCATGATTTTTGTTTTATTAATAAAGGCAATACTTATTTATGCACACCTGATTATTTAAAAGTCATCAAGTTATAGAAGAAGTTTTTAATAATCATAGAAAAGTAAACAAATTAATTTTTTTTCAGGGCCTCATAAACATCAGAGTGCAGTGACATGTTTACAGTTCAGTAAGAAATTTGTTATAACATCTTCAGATGACGGGACAGTAAAAATCTGGGACTTAAAAACAGGCGATTTCCTCAGGAACTTGGTGTCGTTAGACAGTGGAGGAAGTGGTGGTGTGGTCTGGAGATTGAGGTGTAGTAATACAAAACTAGTATGTGCTGTAGGCAGTCGTAATGGTACTGAAGAAACTAAATTATTAGTCTTAGATTTTGATGCTGGAAAAACTGAGACATGAAATTATATAGAATGGTGATAAAAAGACTTGATCATAATTCTTAACCCTGTGAAATCGAGAGAAAAATTCCAAAATTATCCAAAGTTATTTGAAGAAATTTTATGTTCTTTTTTTGGGGAAATTATAAATGGGCATTGACTATAAACATACGAGAAGGTTACTTGAGCATTTGAAGAATGGGGTCTCGGGGCCATCGCTGAAAAATCTTTACTTATGTTATTTGAAGTCCCAAAATTTACAGCCGGATGTTTTGTGCTCTATTCGGACCAGTTTATCTACAGAAATGGTCTTTGAATATATAAAATCAGGAATAAGGCTCAATCATGGCTACTGTTGATTATTACTAGATTTAGGTTATTATTTATTTTGGGGCATTTGACATGAAACTAAGATTAGTACTGCCTCTATTTTTATTTTTTATGCTGTGGCACTGGTACAGATTTATCTTACGCATATCTCCTGAATGTTCAAAATGCATGTGAAATATAATCTGTAGCTTGTAGACACTTACCAAGCTTTTGATAGTTATTATGTCATTGGATTTGGTTGATGGTACTGACTTTTGTCAACAAACTATCGGAAGCAGGCAAGAGTCCACAAGTTTCAGACTATGAAATAAAAACTGATTAAATAGGGCTGTATTGTTTATAATAGAGGTGCTGAAAATGAGTTTTAGGTATCCAGAATTTCAAGCATTTAAGCTCTATGTACCCATGTACCTATGTACTCGAATCGGTGACATCTTTACAAAGTTTATTTGGTAATAAAAGGACATGATAATTGAGACTATATTGATATATATGCTTGGAATATCCAGTAATATGTAGTAAAGCTTGTGACCTGTTGTCTGTCTGTTGCTGTGTGTTTTAATTGTTGTGAAATGGATCAGAGTTAGTATCTTGCATTAAGGCAGAATTATATAGAACATTTGATGTGTTTCAAAAAATGATTGCTCCATGTATCAATGCCAAGAGTACAAATTGATGTTGCTCAATTGGAGTTAAATTGACAAATCATTCATGTTCTTAAACTTTGTTCTGTTTTGTTAAAAATAAACAATTTCAAACACCAAAAGATTAGAAATTCTGCCATTATTACAACTAACTCTGATAGTGAAATGAAGTGCTTGATGAATTTGAGATTTCAACATACGTATCTGTTATGTATTGTGTAGTTACTGACACAGTATTATACTTTACTTATAATTTTATGTCTATCCCTTTATTTTCAGTTTATTTTTATATTATCACTAAAAGATAATTCTGTTATAGCCACAGTGACATCCATAGGTACAATGAAATTGTAATTTTGAAAATAAAGTCCAAAATAAAGGTTTATCAGCTATAAATTAAGAGCTAATGAAATATAAAATTCTTAAATTGAAATGTAATATTTAAATAAGACAACAAATAATGATTTTATTATAAAAAATGTTTTATTTACCAATTTTAAGTTTTTATTTAAAACTATATGTTGATTGGTTTAAAAGAAAAATATCATATTTGTAAGGCTAGAGTCTGGGCTAAACCTTAGTATTATAAGTAATGCTGTAATATTGTGTTGTGTTACTACCAGTTGTTATGTAAATAGTAAATATAATCTTCGTCAAATAACGAGATCAAATGGCAAAATCATTATCTTAACAAAATCATTGGTTAGATTAATCTACAGTTCAATTTACCCAGTAAGGTATTAAATTACGCACACAGTTTGCAGAAGTCATTTCTTTGATTAAAAGAAACCCATTGAATTCAGCTAAAAATAATTTGATATTTGTGGTGTGATTTACAACTTAGTTATTTTGCAAGAAATTGATTTAGGAAACAACAGTTTTATAGATATAAACATTCTATTTATTATTTAAACGTTTCATTACACATACAGGTAATGTTGAGTTTAAATAATAAATAGAAGTTTATATCCATGAAGTGCAATTTCTTAATGTGCTGTGATACTTCTAAATGTCTTACAATGATTATGAGTTATTAAGTATATGAAGTTGATTTGATGAATAAATTCTTTACATACAATATGTAATTCTTGATGAAAAAATCTGACCTTGCCAGTGAATTTGTTGAGATGATAGTTACTTGGTAGTATACCATAGTTAACCTCAATTACTTCTATAATATTATTGCATATAGTAAATAAAATAGTCAATAATGACAATCCTTGTTGTATATCCTTTTACCTTTTTTCAGTATTCTCTTCAATTTTGATATCAATTATATAAACACAACGCTCTTGAGTGGATAACAATTACTGCCTGATACAAGGACATGTCCTTAGTCAATTACTAAATGGCACTTACGGAAGTATCAAGATTGGTATATTTTAATAAAATGCGTATTCAGTGGTGTAAATAAAATTGTTTAAATTACACAATAAAACCTCTTGCTCTTGGCATTTTATATTTAATTTTCTTAAGTGATTTATTTAAAATAAAACAGAAGACTTCAACTTGAAGAATTGGTTTGAGTTGATTTGAACTCTCAAGAATATGACTTGTTTCATATAAATTACGATTACAAATCTTTACTTTTAACTGGGTCGTTATCTTGCAAAGAAACAATGGTGGTGGTAATCAAGGATCCTGGGGGTAGTAGACTGAAACGGATTGAAAACACCCGATTTCAAATCTTATAAAAATGTTACGTACTATACTCGATTTTCTCTTCAGTTTCTCGTTAGGCACAATAGTCATTATCACCAAGATATTTTGACATGTTATCAATATTAATTATCTAACATAAAGATCTACATAAGTATTTGACTTACTTTGAATTTCTATTATTTTTGGTGTTACTGTATCGTACTTATATGATCTTTCGTTACTCTTGCTTTATGTTCCCTGATAAGTCGCCTCTACGACTTTCTTCAACCTAATCCTATATATAAATTCTACAAAGCCCCACACTCTTCAATCTTCGTCCACGGCATACATCCTCAAAAGGAGTGTGAAGATTCCGAGTCATACTGGTATGTACATGCATTATGTATATTACTAGTTTAAAGGAGAAGAAATAAAAATGCAGGATCATTAAGTGTATAAAAAGGGTTGAATGGCATGTCGGGATTACACAATGATAAAAAAATAGCTTACCAGGCAAGGTAATATACACCCACTGGCAGCTTTGATTTTTGAATGAAAAATATTTAGCAATTTCAATTTTTAGCACGTGAAAACTCTAGAAGACAAATATTCAATCTTCAGCGCGGCACTGAATAATAAAACCAAGTTTTTCTCAAAATCCAGCAAGAATCATGCCTTTTAGTGTTTATTAAGAGCTAAATTTGAAAGCGTTTTCAAGAACAAGGGCAATAACAGTAGTATATGTCTTTTCGGATATGACGCATTTCACTTCTGCGCATGCGCAGCTTTTTCAATACATCATATCCGAAAAGACACAACTGTTAAAATGTATTATAACAGACTCCCCAAACTGTTAAAAATGTATTATAACAGACTCCCCAAACTGTATTATAACAGACTCCATATAAATTACACAGACAAGAATCACTAATAATAATACAGTATAAAATAACTGCATTAAAAATGTCTTTAATTTTAAAACACGAACAAAAAAAATTCGAAGGAGACGGTTTCTTCTCTGCGCTAACATCTCTCATCCCCAAAGTGGCCAATTTTGTCTCAAACAACAAATCCCTCATTTCCTCAGGGGCGCAAGCTCTTGGATCTGTGGCAAAAGCAGGAGTAAATATAAGCGATGCAGTGAAAAAATCTGACGAACTTAAAGAACTGCAGTTAATAAGAGAACTAAGAAACAAGAGACTAGAACGACAAGCCCTAGAAAAACAAGGAAAAGGGTTTAAAATCATTGGATAAAAATGGCAAGCAAAAATTACAGATTTGATCCAATCTTTCAATTGTATGATCCGATTCAATATTCGTTCAACAAGAAGAAAGAGGATTACGTAATCATCTCACCATCGGTAGGGACAAAGACCCAAATAAACGACGGAGGAAGAGTTACCTTTGAAATTAATTCGTTGTCCAATTTGTTGCTGCTTTCCGATGCCCATTTCCGATGCGATTTCAAAATCAAAGACGCCACTCAGAATCGAATTCCACAAACCAACACGACTTTAGAAAACAACTTCTTTCCGTCTTTATTCAGGGAAATGGCTTTGGAAGCTGGTTCAAATCCGATAGAGACCATAAAACACCCCGGCGAGTTTGACACAATGTTGAAAACGGTTCTGTATCCCAAAAACTACGATTCAGTTTCGGGATGGATTCCCCATGTCGGTGACGGAGAAGTTTTAAAAGAACCGGTCAGAACTGTAGCAAATGACGCAGACCTTGCTAGGATAAGGGTAGTTGCTAGAAACACACTGGAAAGAGTGACTCGCGGAGTAAATCACGGATTTGAAAAACGAGCGCTTCAATACAACAATGTCGTCGAGAACAACAGATGGGGTAATTACGTAAATTGGAAGTTGTATCCTTTATTTGGTCTCTTGGAACACAGAAAGGTTTCCATAGGTTTAACGTATAAAATTCATTTGCAAAGAGAAATCAACGACAACAAGATATTCTTTGGTGAAAACAACTCTGACGCAAAATTGGAAATAACAAATATCCAACTTTACATACCGGTAATCACTCCTTCCGTAGAAGTGGAAACGAGAATATTCAACTCTTTAACCAAAGACATCGAAATTGCTTTTCTTCGTCATAACACGGTAGGTAGCATGACTTTAACGGGAGAATCCACCACCTGGCCAATCACCAACACCGTCAAACCAGCGAGATATCTAATGGTCAGTTTCAAAAACTTGCCAGACTCTCAGACAAACAACAACAACATTTTCAGAGTGGCATTGAACCATACTCAAGATCCCATCATTCGCAAAGTTCAAGTCAGATTGAACAACGATAATTATCCCAATCAACCTTTGACAATTGATCCTTCCAAAAAAGATTACAACGAATTGTACAGAAACTATAAAAACATGTGCGAATTGTTTGGAAATACACCTCAGTTTGAATACACAGATTTTTCACTCAATCATCCAATCTTTTGTTTCGATCTGTCAGCTCATCAAGAAGATCTTTTCAAAACAGGGGTAAACATAAATATTCACATCGATAAAACACAAGGAGATGTGACCGGATACTGTTTATTGCTGGAAGAAGCAAAACATTTGATTAAAATATCAGATAGAAGAATGATAAGAATTGAATAAAAAAACACCCTTTAAAAATGAAACCAGAAACTTTAGTTATGAAAATAATAGAAGCTATGGAAACGAATTCGCCGACTCTAATAACTTACAACGGTAAAAAAGTGCATATAACCCAAAAGATTATCGATAAATACAAACATTGCAAAGTCAGAGACGATATGGAAAGAATTGATGAGAATTTAACTAAAAAAGGTGGATTTTTACCTTTCTTACCTTTAATCTTTGCTGGTTTAGCTGCAGCCGGTGCAACTGCTGGTGGAGCTGCTGGGATAGCCAAAGCTGTCAACGATAAGAAAGCTGAAGCCGCTGCAAACGCTGAAGCACGTAGACTCAATTTGGCAATGGAAAGAGAAGCACAAGGAGGTTTGGGAGTAGGAGATATATTAGGGACGGTTAAAGAATTCGGACAAACCAAGAAACCCGTTAAAGAGGGATTAAGCAAATTAATAGATAAAATCGACACCGGAGAAATGAAGGTCAAACACAAGGGCGACGCCATATTTTTTAAAAACATACGTTCGGGCGAGGGAATCTTCCTTTCAAAGTATAAAGGCAACGGGGTGATTTTTGGTACGAAAATGTAATAAATAAAAATGGGCAAAAAATTTAATCATTCAGAAATATTTCCTAATAACCCAATGCTCATGTGTATATGCGGTAGTTCAGGTTCTGGAAAACTCATCTCACTTTTAACATGTTGACAACATCAAACCTTTTAGATTTCGATTCTCTGTATATCTACACAACAACACCAGAGCAATCGTATTATCAATTCCTCAAAGCTTTGGAATATTTACCAAAGAAAGATGTTCAAGACATATTTCAATATTACGAAGAAAACGAAGAAGAAGTGGAAATAAAAGATATCATAGAAAACTTCATTAAATCAAAGAATCCATCTTTCAATCCAACGGATATAAAAGTTTTTCTTACGAAAAATGTTAATGATCTAGACTTGTCTAATATTGATAGCAATCGAAAGAACTTAATATTGTTTGACGACTGCGTAGCGCAAAGAAATCAAACTGTTCAACAAGAATTCTTCACCAAAGGAAGACATCACAACTGTCACTGCATATACCAATCCCAATCTTTTTACGGGATGGATTCTATGTTCATTAGAAAAAATGCAAATTGTTTTTTATTATTTGAATTAAACGATAAAGATTTATCTCAAATCATTCAGTCTATAAATCAAGGAATGGATAGAGATACATTTAAAAAGGTTTGTAAAGCTCAATGGAGAAACCCAGATGATCATGGATATGTATTTGTAAATACTAGAAAACCTGCGGGAGAAAGTTAGTTATGATCGATATATGTTAATTTTATTTTTTTTAAAATGACGGATTGGAATAATTTTTTAAAAAGAAATAGAGAATATATCAAAGCTAAGAATAAAATAAAGACCCGAGTTGAAAATAACAGATTACAACAACTCGGATTAACGGAAAATCTACAGACTCTATTTCAACCCATATTAAAATCTCAAGGGGATATTAAAAAGAAATAAGCTTTAGAACCCACACCTCATATAGAACCCAAACCGATTGAATATAATGGTATTATAATTAGGACATTAGATGATATAAAACGTCTTTTTTCAAACTCTGACCCAGATTTACCAAAGAGCATTTCACCAATCGTTGATAATCAAGGTTTATTGTTTAATGGATTTAGAATAATATTTAGTCCAAATTCCCCTTTATTCAAAATCGACACAAAAGACTTTATGTTTACTTTAACTAATAGATTTAATGAATGGCAAGGATGTTGAAATTGCCGATTACAAGGATTTAGTTGCATACTCAAAATTTCTACATGCAATAAGAAAGTCAGGACCCGAAACAAGAAGATTGAAAGAAGTTGATTTTTATATAACAAAAGTTATTGAGGAAGAGGAGGTAGATGATTATGCAGAAGATTATCCACCAATCATACAAGAAATAGACGAATTCGATGATATGGTGGCATCTGGACAAGGTATAACGTTTTTATCCGACGACAATAAAGAATTGCTTAATAGATTAGAAATAATATTAGCGGCCATGAAAGAAGGTCATCGATCGGACAGACAATACAACGAAGTCAATGCCATATTAAAACGGCTTTTGGAGAAAAAATTCATCACCAAAAAAGACTATATAAACGTCATTAAAAATGTCCAATAAAGAACAATTGTTCGTTATCACCTCGAATAAACCAGACATCAAATTGTCTCTAGACTACGAGTATGAACTCGATCGCAATAAACAGTACGAACTGGGATTAAAGTATTTCTTCGTTTACAATTCCATTAGAAACATCAACGAAAAAAACAATCAACTAAAAATATCGACGGATAACGGAGTTACGTTCGAAACCATAAGCTTACTACCGGGGAGCTACGAATACGTAGCCATTAACGAATACCTATCCGAATACGCAGGAAGCGTGAACGGCAAAAACAATATCGAATTCGAAGGTAATCTGAATCTGAACAAAATAAAACTGATCTTGAGAAATAACAGTCAAGTCGATTTCAACGTAGAAAATTCGTTGAATGCGTTACTAGGGTTCGATAAACGAATATACGCGCAATCGACATTGGCGCCGCACAAGGCCAACATCGAGAACGACATCGACGTGATCAACATTCACTGTAATTTGATCAACGGTGGATTTTCCAACAAGCACAAACGTCAAATCATATACAGCATACCGACTTTTGCCGATCGGATACAGAATTATAGAGAAACCGTTTCAAACGACCTATTTACCAGTCAATTCTTTCATGATCAAAGATATAAATCTGGAAATCAAAGACGGTAAAAACAGGTTCATAGACTTTGGCAACGAAGAAATTGTCATTCAACTTCATTCTCTTCTTGATTAGAAAGATAATCGAAATCATCAAATTCATAGTTTTCGTCAAAACTATACTCATCTTTGTCGCTGTAAGGATACATAATTCCTTCACTGTTTGGTGGTTTTCTTTTAACATTATTCAAATAACTTCTAAAAACTTTAGCTTATTTATCATTTGGAATAACTACTCCATTGGTGAAACTTTTTTCCCATGGTTTATTAAATTCGTTCGACACATCATGTCCGCTTGCTAACTGAACGTAATCTTCTACACTTATCTTATCATTAGAATAACCTTTTTAAACGTTTTCTTTTCTTTTAAGACACCATCAGAAGTCAAAACGATGTTGTATTTAACTTTTGGTGCTAAATATAAACCAAATATAATTCCACCGTCACCGTAATCGTTTTTACCTTTGCAATAGTCTTTTTCGGAGACCAAACCAGCTCTGTTTAGTTTCTTCCAATTTTTGGATGAAATGTACAAACTATCGGTGTCGGTATAGTATATTTCGGGTTTATAAAATCCATTTATGACGTGAATGAAATTGTTAATTATTTTTTTACTGTGAGATAAAACGAATGATCCCAAATGACTAGGTGTTAGTCGTGTAGATTTACTATCTTCGGTCTCTTTTTCTTCAATTTCCGTTTGAGTATCATTAATTTTCTCATAGGTTTTAACGCGTGAATCAAAGTTGGCCTGTAAAGTTGCTTCATTCCATAAATGTCTAGTTGTGAATATGTCTTTCTGAATTGATTTACCATACAAGGAATTACCTAATAATTTCATGCAGTTACTACCCACGATATTACCTTCTCGTTTATATTTATTTCTTAAATCTCTCAAAATTAAAATATAATCTCTATAGGGTGGAGTTTTAAAATTTTCTTCGTAAACTATACCATCTAATATTCTAATAATTCGTCCACCGGCTTTCACTATTTCTTGAATATCGACTGATGTTAAAACGTCGTGACAGAAACCATTTCTGAACCTGATTTTGTTACCCGTTTCCTTTTTACCTTCTTTATTCGTGAAAGTGATTTTATCTTTAGCTGGTGTCGGTTGGAAGAACATGTTTTTGGGATAGTCAAACCACACTGTTAAAATAGCTGTTCTAGGTCTGAATTTTTGTTTATTGAAGAGTTTCACAAATTCTTTTTCTTCTTCTAGTAGAAACGGTCCGCTCTAGGATATTCACTGTCTAAATCCGACATGGCGGAAGCGTATAAACCGTTAGCATCAAATGCCATTAGTTTAGTACATTCTATTTTTTTAAGTCTCGAATGAACCTCCGTTTTGTCTTTTGTGCTTGCGCTGTATTCTTTGAATAAATCAATTATGTTATTACTTTCAAGTTCTGTATATTCCTTTAATACGATACAAATTTCATCCATTTTGTTCGTTTCAAATGATTTTCTATTTGCCGAAACTCTTCCTCCTTTAATAGATCGTCTGATAAAATTTCTTATAAAAGGATTAGTGTGCGAATAAACTTTTTCTACGTTTTCTTTTTCGGTATGTTTCGCAACCATTCTAGTAGTTTTATACCATTCTGCTTCCACCATTTCTTTATCGTAATGATATAAATAATACCAACCCTTTAAAGATAAAGATGGAGCCGTTAGATTATTGGACATATTCTGGTTTACAACTTCTTTCGTCACTTGGTTGTATTTTATCAAACAAGCTCCCAAACAGAGAGTGTCTCTCTTGGCGTAAGGTTCCCATTCGTGTCTCAATTCCTCCCAGTTGTCTTGCGTGTATTTAGCGATATCTACGTCGGCAACCTTTCTCAAATTCGCGGGAAGATTGGAAGAATTTCCCCATGCAGCCAAACTAGAGGATTCGTGTTGATAGGAACACGTGAAATTAATATGTTGTAAATAATTACCCTTTATTTCTTTCTGTCTTTTCCATTTTTTCTGTAAATCTTCATCCGTGTATGGATTAGATAAAGGAAAAGATAGAATTCCTCTGGGTGTTTTTAAAGGGCAATGCGTTAGTTTTTTTGCATTTTTAAGCACGATCCAGTTGTCGAATCCACTGCCGTTATGAGAAATTAATATTAATCTCTTTCTATCATATTGACCTAAATATTTCAACATTTGATCGATGCAATCTGTACCTACAAATATTTCTACTACATTCATTAGTTTATCATAAAATTCTTCTGGAAGGGGATCTGATGACTTTAAATCTGGAAAGAGATTATTTATTCTGTTTAACATTTTCCTTAGTTTTTCTAAATTAATTAAAGTGCAGGCATAAGGAATTGCTCTTCGCGTGTCTTTTTCTGAATACGTTTCGCAATCCCAAGCGAATAACGCATCATCACTCATACTCGAAAGCACGTTTAGTTTGAGGGGTGAAACCTGTGTTACTGCGTTGTCGTCTCTACACGTTTTCCACACCTGTTCGTAATTGTCTTCTATTTCTTGAATTCCCAAACTTTTTTGGCTTCTTCTAATCAAACAGAAATGCGAGTTGTGTAAGTAAAAAACCCAATCTAATTCATCGTGAACGTCTCTGGGGTGAAAATGTCTGTTTTTGGGATTATAAATTTGAAACGAAGTGTTAAATTTCTTGTTGAATTCATTCATTCTAGCACAAGTCATCACTCCTTTTCTATTTGCTTTTTAAAACCCGTTGATGTATTCTTGAAATTTACACGTTAAATCTTTGTTCAAAACACGATTGACGTATTTGATAAAACAGTGACCATCTGTAGGTATGTAACAATTTTCGCCTTCGTATTCATTGATCTTTTTCAGCAGATCAGTTCCTCCTCTGCCAACTCTCGATCTTCTTATTTCTTGGAAATTGTCTTTCATTAAAATTATTTTTCCTGTAAAATACCAATCGGAAGCATCGGATTTTTTGTCCGTATTTGAAAAGATATTGTGAAAGGTTTTGGCATTGACTATCTCTCCATCTATTTTAATTTGTCCTTTGAATGTTTTAAATTTATCAGAGATAGCCTTGATAACATCGGAAAATAGGGCGTTTTCTATCAATGTTTCATCAAGTTCGATTTTATTCATATTTTTTTAAGTGTATATTTTTGATTATTTCTTTATTTTGACCGCTGATATTTCTGTATGGAATTTGTCCAAAATTTCATTGAATTCTTGTAATTCTTCAACTGTTATGTTCTTGTCTTCTCTCGATCTTTCGAAAAAGATGTACAATTGATTAAGATACATATTCAAGATATCCGTTTTCTTTTTATAATGAGCTTTCTTTTTGCTCGTGAAACCTAAAGTGATGAGACCGCAAGAGGTCGTTTGAACGGCTGTTAATGCAGCCAATACGGTTGGGACGATGACCGGAAGCATTAATCCACCAGTCACGGCCGTTGCCACCGTTACTCCTACCGTTAGAACTGTGCTCGCTGTTTTGAAAAAAGAATCGATTCTACTCCATGTTTTCCTGCATGAATTGTACTGTCTCAACTTTATTTTCAACTCTTCTTGTTTGTCTATCATGTATTGTTGTCTGCTTTCGAGTTCCATTTTTTAAGTCGTTAAATTAAGTGAATTTCCGATAAATGGAACCACGGAATATCGTATAGAACGTACTTGTTTGGCCGAGCATTATTATATTTGCGGGTATTAAAAGTAAAAACATTTACGCGTACTAACGACATTTCTTTTTTCGTATGGTCCTCTTTAAGATGATAGGAATATTTTATTTTTTCTTTTTCGATGTTTATCTTGGCTCTAGAAATAAAACCACCACCTTCAAGGATGGAGTCGGAACCTTCGGCAAACGATAAATGTACTATAAACTCTCTTTCTTGTTGACTTTTATGAACATCGATCGAGGTGTATTTTCCATCATAAACAAAATACAGTTTTACGTATTCAAAGTCTGTTGTTCGTAAAAACTCGTGACTGCTCGATTCTATTGGTCCGGGTACGTATACGGGTTTTATAAATGGAATTTTGACAATGTTGGTTAATGGTGGATTTTCCGTCTCCAATATCATATCCAAATCTTTGATTCCAATGATATCCTTATCATTTTCTACTTCCATTTTAAAGGTGTCTACATATTTACCATTTTTCGTTTCAATTTCCTGATCCCTTTTATCAATCAAACGTATATTCTCTTCCAAATTACCACCATTGAATAATGAAATATGTTTGACGGTCTTACCGGTTTGTTTGAAGACTACTTTATTGACTTTAACCTTCATGGGAAACCCTATTTGAATCAGACAATTACCTCGAAAAGAAAACTCTTGCGTTTCGCCGATATCGAATACGTTTTTAGGTTCTCCGTATGCGAGAGTACCTACTTTTATTTCTGCTTTGAATCCGTATTTGTTTGATTTATAAATTTGGTCTTTTCTATCGAAGACAGTGTCACTTTCGAATGGAAGATTGAAATAATACGATTTGTCCGTGACAATAGCTTCTAATTTGCTCAACTTTCTCTCTTGTCTCAAAAAATCGTCATGAATTCTAGATACTAAAAGATTGACCTGTTCTTTAATATAATTTTTCATATCATCTCGAAATTTATTTTGAAGAAAGTTTTTAATCACCCCCACTTCTTTTTCTAATTCGTCCGTGATTTTAGTATCCAAAGCAGTCAATTGTTGTTTCAACGTATCTTTGTCAATGGGAAGTGTGTTAATTATATCTTGAACATCTGATTTTTGCTTCGCGATCTTTTCGTTCAAATTGGATATCGAATTTTGTAACTCGGTTTTGTCCGCGTTCTTGTCTAGTTCTGCTAGCAATTCGCCAAGTTTTCTTTCCAAAGCGGTTAGTTTTCGTTTCAATCTATCCTCGTTTACATTTGGGTTGTCTATTAAACGTTGGACGTCTATTTTTACCTTCGTAATCTTATCGTCTAATTTAGATATCAACTGACTTGTTTTATCCACTTGAATAAGACGTTTCAAACTCGTTAACTCTTGTTGTAGTTTGGGTTCGTCCACAAGATTTTTAATATTTCGTCTGATGTATCCTTTCACGTCATTTATTCTATTTTCAACATGGTCCTTATCTATTTGAATTGCGTTTATTTGATCCAGTAAATATTTCTTGTTCACGGCATCGTTATCGTTTCCTGGAAACTTTAAATTAGTTATTTTGAAATTGTTCATATCGATATCCCCTTGTAAGGTGTCTCCGATTTGATCCACGAAAAAAAGGTTTCGCTTTGTTTATAAACGCCGTAGAACTCATGGGAACGTAGAACATTTGATTGGTTTGCTAGTCAATTTCGTTATCTCTTCTGTCGGTTCTAGACCGAAAGAATCAAAGAAATAAAAGTTATTCGAAGAATCTTTGTGTAGAGCAGAGTGATGAACTCCTTTTTGATCCGACGTGTGACTGTTTGTGATGGCGTAAAATTTACCTTTCTTGTATTTCAGTTCATCAATTTCATCTCGCATGCAATAATAAAACGGCGAGACGTTCAACTCCTTGGCCCATTTCACAAGTTGAAAATTTGTGGTCGTGTCTTTTCCGTATTTATCGAGAAATGCATTCATCTTTTAAGTTGATTTTTTTTAGGTGTTTTTCGAAGTAGGCGGAAAGTATTGCTGAAGACCCAATTGACGAAATATATACGTAGTTTGTGTTTGAAAAAACTTGTATAACATTCTGATAAAACACATTCAATAATATTTTGAAGATAAATTTACATTTAAATTTAAAAAATCTTAATTTAAGAGAGCGTAAATGCTTGTAGACATCTAAATTTCTTTACCTTTCATCTAAATCTTCATTTTCGAAATTCATTTTTAAAAGTCAGTTTTTTGAAGTTCATTTTGATAAAACCTTCCTATGATTTGTTCTTTGTCTTGATCGATCAACTCATACGTGGGAGGTGATGTGTTGTTTACTTTATCAACGATGAATATCTCGTTAGTCCAATAACCGACGTAACCTTTCTGAAACAATGATTTATATTTAAAAATACGAACTCGATCTCCAACTTTGAATTTGGGTTTAATATTCAAATTGCTAATCTCGTTTTCAAAGTTGTTTCGAGTGTTGACGGACTTTATGATATTCGGGTTATTAGAGGCTTTGGGTGGCGTCACACCTATAGACGAATGTATTTTGTTATTGTATTCGTCGACAACAACTGGTAATATTTTAAGCCATTTTTGAGTCCTGTTGAATCTTTCTATCACTACGGCTTTACCTTCTTTATGCGTGCTGTAAATTTCAAACCCCAGAGATTTCACATTTCTGTTGTAGAATTCGCTTCCTTTATCAACCCACAACTTTAGGGGTCGTCTGTCGGATTGTTTCATTATGGTTTCGAATGCTTGTTTGACAGTCAGACCCGATTTGTTTTTCAAGGGAAAGACCCAAGTGTATCTCGTGTATATGTCGATCACCGTCAAACAATACTTGTACCCTCTCTCGACTGGCATGTTGATTAAATCGGCTGACCAAATTTCATCTTTATCAAAAACTTTGACTTTGAGGTAATGTTTGTTTTTTCGAAATTCTTTGTGAATCTCGTCTGCTATGCCCATACCCAATTTCAATTTTGCTTTCAAGAGTTTTATGATAAGAGCCCTTTGTAATTTCTTTTTGAAAGTGGGATTAGGAATATTTTCGAGTTCGTCTATCATTCGTTTGTCTGCTTGGTGTCTGAATGATACGTCTTTGTTTCTGTACAGTATGTCGTGTTTGAGCGCTGCTGCGTCAACTCTATTAACGGGTTCTTCCCCTGGTTTGGGATTATCATTTTCGTCTAAACGCAGATCTAATCTCGTGCCTGGACCTGTATAATTGTGGCCTGGGAGATGTTTTTCTCCGGGATATTTTGCCCATGGGAATCCAGGAAGAGAACCCAATGACTTTTGAATGTCTCCCGCACCGAAATACGTTTTAGGAGGATGGACATTAATTAAAGACATATTTGTTCAACATATATTTTTAATACGAAAGATTTAATACAAGGAGGAAATTTGTTGTTTGAGACAAAATTGGCCACTTTGGGGATGAAAGATGTTAGCGCAGAGAAGAAACCGTCTCCTTCGAATATTTGTTGTTCGTGTTTTAAAATTAAAGACATTTTTAATGCGGTTATTTTATACTGTATTATTATTAGTGATTCTTGTCTGTGTAATTTATATGGAGTCTGTTATAATACAGTTTGGGGAGTCTGTTATAATACATTTTTAACAGTTTGGGGAGTCTGTTATAATACATTTTAACAGTTGTGTCTTTTCGGATATGATGCATTGAAAAAGCTGCGCATGCGCAGAAGTGAAATGCGTCATATCCAAAAAGACATATACTACTAATAACTCATACTAAATATTTTTTCAATTCTTCTGATTTTCAATAGGGTTCATCCTTGGGTGATTATGAACATTTACAGCAAGTTTCATCAAATCCGTCAAGAATTGTCCCTTCTAGAGTGATTACAAGCTAAAAATTGAATGCGTTTTCAAGAACAAGGGCAATAACTCATACTAAATATTTTTCGATTCTTCTGCTTTTCAATAGGGTTCATCCTTTGGTGATTACGAACACTCATGCCAAGTTTTGTTAAAATCCATCAAGAATTGTCCCTTTAGAATGTTTACGAGCTAAAAATTGAACAAGAACAAGGGCAATAACTTATTATACTAAAT